TACAGTACAAGAACATTATTTAAGTTCTGTAGGACCAAAATGTTGGTCAATAAGAGGCACATAGGACGCAAAAATCAAGAAGTTTAACCCTCCAGACTGAACACATCTGTGACAACCCAGCCAAAATTGATGTACTGTAATTCCACCACACTTTGCGCTATTGTAAAAATTTCTTAAAGGGGAGATATTGCGCTTTCCAGCCAATATCGGGGTCATCATGGTAATTTCACCCCCACCACAGCAGGAAGTGAAATTAATCTGAGGGAAACTCTTAATAGACGGTACATTGCAAAAATAACTTGCTAGATATTGAAATTTCCAATTGTTATGGATAAATAGGAAAATATATTTTCTCACAGAACATTTAAAGAACTGTGTACATTTAAAATAAGCAGAAATATTAAGGTGGTGATTTGAAACTTGGGTCTAAAATAAAAACTGAAACCAGAGTCCAAAAATCAGAGACAAGGAACCAAAATCTAACACATGAAAAAATAATAAAGAGCACGTTAAATCCAAATCAAAAACAAGAACCAGCAGAGACAGACTCACCCAAAGAGGGATCTTTACTGAGGAGAGGTGATCAGTGAAACATTACACAGGTGGAGACTAATCAACCAGAGTGAGAGCAGCTGATTGAGAAAAGCAGATAGCAGAGTCAGAGGGAACGTCATGAAATAAGTGGCTGAGCAGAAACGATCAGTCATGAAACAGAACACAATCAGCCATTAGATTAGAGTGACCAAAGAGACAAAGAAACTATAAAGCAGGAGAGAAAGACAACAGGAAGTAAAGAAGAGGCAGAACAGGAAGGACATGATCTGAAAACAGCTGAAGTTGTTGCTAATCTCTGATTTCTTGGCATCACAAAGTTGTTCTGAGTTTTTTTTTTAAATTCAAACCAAACAAATCATTTAGCCTTTCTTTTATTCTTTTTCTCCTTTTGTAGCATAGATTCAAATTTTTTGAACATAATTTTTAAAGATTTTCACTAAATCTAAACCAAAAATCATACTAGAAACCAATTTATTTATCTGTTTGTATGGCTATTTTATAACAGCTAAAGCAAAATAATGTTTGACATTTTTGAAAAGAGAAATTGGCTGTTTTTTTCACTTCATCTTTAAAATCAACCAGCTAAGGCTTTTGCAGACAGGAATCCAGTTTGACGGTTGGACTCTGTCTGTTCTGTTGTTTGTTCAACTGAATCTAATCAGACTGTGTTGTTGAGATTGTTTCCAAGATGCAAAGGCAGACGAATAAAGGCCAGACAGACCTCAGACCACTTTAACCACAATTAAATTCAACAAAAATTTATAGCTCCTGGTAGTACTTGCAACAAGCACACAGTGCCTGGAACAAATATTTATACCTCTTTAACATTTTCATATTTGGTCCCACTGAAGACGAATGCTAAAGGACAGTTTAGGATCCGTGAGAAAGATTAAAGTAGTCATTGCAATATTTACAAATATTCTCACATAGCAAGATTTTCCAATAACACATAGCCCTAATATTCTCTGATCTAAATAATTTTTCTTGTGAGACAGGTTATATTTAAGTGATATATTTGTTGGCCAGATAGTATTGAAGCCTGAGTATTAGTGATATTAAACCAAAAATGGTTTAGTTTCACCATTTTCCAGACTTACTAGATGTTTCATCTATCAGACTTCAGCCGTAGTCTCAAGTCTTATTCAGACATATGATTCATTGAACTTTGGGGGACAAAGTAAAAAATATATATATACTTTTGCAGATTACTACATTTTGGAAATTGTGTTTTCTCTTCTCCTTAGTTTATTATTAATTTCAGGTAATTGTTGAGCGTCTCTGTGTCAGGGCCACTGTACTCCTCCATCCTTCGACTCCCTGGCGTTGATCGACAGTGCTTTCCACAGGACGAAGTGTGACATGTGGTGTGTATGTCAGTGTCTGCTTCAGTGTTTACTCTGAGCTAATACTGACTCACTCCATTAATCTGAGCTACAACAGATCCACTCCAACCTGCCCACTTGAGGGAGATGAAAGGGAGGGGGCTGTTTCAGACGCACGCTCAACACATGGTTTCCGTCGCGTTCGCGTAACCCCACGTATGCCTTTCCCTTCTGATTTGCACGCGTGATGTAACAGAGCGAGTGTTCGCGGGCCGGGATGTCCAAATCGATGCGGAGATACTTTATGTTCTCCTGTCTGTTTTAATGACGTCTCTGTAAATTAACAACAGAATAGCGGAGCAGCATTCTGAAACCTAATGGCACCTCTGTAAATTACCGCTGAATACTGTTGGACGCCTGCGTGTGTTCTCATTGTAAACACACCGCCATCCCCTTTTCCCTCCTTTCTTTGTTGGCACCTCATCTACATTTGTCTGAGGTTGTGTGTTTGTGTGATTGTGTTAACACTGTTGCTTGCTGTTTCAGTCTGAGTGTGTTTTTTGCGTGTGCCCCTCTCTCTCTCCTTCCCCCTCGCTCTTTCAGTAAAGACTAGCCCGAGGCCCTGAGTTGGTAATAGCTTTTCTGACAACTATACACCAATATTTACAGAGAGCAGCACCCACCCACACCCACACATATTTAATGCACATATAAAATAATATGTAGTTTCCCGTGCACACTTTCACATGCCTAAATGCAGAGCTGCACACAGTGTTTTCTTTCTGCAGGCGCACACACACAGTCTTAATTAACATGCTGGGAGGGAAGGAGTCACACACCAGAGGAACTCTCACACATGCTGGCAAACGACGTGTTGTTTCTCACTCGTATATTGGCATTCACACTCTGGGTTGTTGTTTTTTTCATGCAGCAGGACCACAGAAAGACAATTTGCCACAATTTGGCCTTTGAATTGTGATATATTCTCACTTTTTCCTCTTCATTATTCTCTTTGCGTTACTTTCACTCAAGTGCGGCCAATTCCATTCTAGCGCTCTTCTCTCTTCCTCTCGCCGCCTTAATAACCTATTACACTTCAGACTATTCATTATGTGGCAATCCTTTCTACCCCTGGACTCTTTGGCGGTTCCCTCACCAAGTGCCTGTCTTGCTGCGGCTTCACCTGGTCTGCGTTAAACTCCTCCTCTCTTGTCCTAGTTATGGCGAACTACAATATTTATGTTGATGTGATTGATGTGTGAGTAGGTGTAAGAGTAGATAGGTAAATGTGAGCTTAAGTATGATAGATTGTGAAACCTTGGTTCAGTGTCCTTGGAGGTCACAGAGAGTGTTCAAGGTAAGTTTCCATTGGCTGAATGCCTGGTTCTCTGAATTTCACCGCAGCTTGCAAAATGATTCATACTCCTTAAACTTTTTTCACACTGCGTCATGTTTGAACCAAAATTTTCGGTCTACATTGTTGTGATTTTATGCGACAGACTAACACAAAGGAGGGGATAGAAAATGATACGTGAGTGTAAAAATGTTGCATAAATGAACTCTAAAAAGTAGAGAACGTATGTTTGAATTAATACGGTAAAATCAGCTCAAATAAGCACAATTAGGAATTAAAATTTTAGCTCCATCCACCTTCTCATTAACTTCAACCATCACTGTGTTTTATTTTAGCAAAGATGTATCCTGGGTTCTTTGCATATTCTGGGTTTGTACTAGTGCTTAAAATCCTTGAACAAGCTTGAATTTCAATTAGGCATTTTCAAGGTTTAGAAAGTGCTTGATATTCAAACTGTAACAGTTTTGTAATTAAGTGCAATCTATTGTTTGATTAAATCCTAAATTTGGAAAACATTACTAACAAATGAAACCAGATAAAGAAACAAACACATTTTTTTTCTCACTGACAAAACTTTTCTTGTTTTAGGTCGGTTAAAATTACCAACGTTAATCCAATTGCTAAATGCCAGAAAGCTCAGCAAAAACATTTTCTAGAGATTTTTTCTGTAACTTTCTTTGGATATTGTTTTTAAACATTAAATTTAAACCTTAACTTTATTTATTTAGACTGTTTTGATGTAAAGAATATTCATTACAATAAATTTCTCAAAGACTTCTTGATCTGTATATTGAAATACATTACATGTTAAACAACGGAACTGAAATTGAACAATTTTTTGTTAAATTTCTGACCTGAGGATCTTTTTTCACTAATTTGAAGTTATTTGGTTGTGTTGGATTTTAGTTAGTAGTACCACACCTTTCAGATCTTTATTTGGAAGAAAAATGGACAACCATGTTTCATTTCCTCTTTACTTAACAGTCATGCACTGCCTTGTGTTGGTACCACATAAAATCGAAGCAGAATGCACCACAATTTGGGTTGTGTGACGAAATGTGAAAAAGTTCAAGAGCTATGCATACATTTTCAAGGGACCATAATTGGCTTTTGCTGCCATAAAGCTTGCAGGCTGCTCTTCTCCATTTCCATCGGCAGTTTTTCCCAACCTTATCAAATTCCTCCAGACCTCGACTGCTGCCGCACAAAGTTACACCAAAAAAATTGTGTCTTTTTCCAAACGTCGAGAAATGAGCCATGTTGTCAAACAAGACCACATCACTTTCGACTGCCAGCACAGCTGTTCTCTCAAAAGAGAGCGTGGCAGGTTTCATAACGAGTTTGGAACGCTCTACTCTCACGACTGTCTCTCTCATATCCACACTGTTTAATCTCTAACCCACATGACTGATCAAAGCTTGTTTACCCACCACTCCATGGTGCGATTAGAGGTACTGAAGGAAGTGTTTCTTCCAACTGCTGGCATCAGTGAGGCTTTGCTTGACAATAACAACATTTTCAGCATCTTAAGGAATATGTTTTGTACTGAGCATTGGAATCAAATTTAACCAGCCAGCTGAGATTTGTTTTACTCGACTGGCTCTGATGAACACCCACCGTTTTCTTTCCCTTAGCGGTTTATGAAGAGCAGTGTGGGAAGAGGCATTATAGCTGAGATAATGTGCTAATCATTAGAATAATGTTCAACAACCCTGTAACATTTACAAACGTATTTGTTCTTTTTTCCTCCCGCTTGCCTCTCTTTATAGCTCGTGAGGATTTTGTTGCCACCTTTAAGGGCTCTGAGTACTTCTGCTACGACTTGTCGCCCAACCCCATCCAGTCCAGCAGTGACGAAATCACGCTGTCCTTCAAGACGCTGCAGCGCAACGGCCTGATGCTGCACACGGGCAAGTCAGCCGACTACGTGAACCTGGCACTAAAGAATGGTGCCGTGTCCCTTGTCATTAATCTCGGCTCTGGGGCCTTCGAAGCCCTGGTGGAGCCCGTCAACGGCAAGTTCAACGACAACTCCTGGCACGACGTGAAAGTCACCCGCAACCTGAGACAGGTAACCAGACTACAACAGGTAGAGAGAGGAGTGAGCGGCATAGGGGAAAGGAGAAGCAATGATAAAGAATTACACTAACAGAGGGACAAAAAAAAGTCAAGAAGTACATCAGAATATAGAACTGGCATTTTATTGGTTAAATACTGCACATAAATCTATAGGGCTGTAATAAATTATTATATGTTAATTATTCCCTATAATATTTTTTATTGAAGTGATTCCATGGAATCATAACTATAAAATGTTTACTAGGTAACAACTTCACAATTAACTGAGAATTTCTTCTTTAAATCTTCATTTAAGCTTGATTTCTCTCCAGAATAGATGGTCTTGTGAATAATACTACTTGGCACTATGGTAATTGTGGGTCATATTTATTGATATAAATGTTGTTTTGACTTTTTTATCTCAGAAATATGTCTTTTTTGTCAACTATTTTCCCACCTGAAACAACAGAAATATGGAGCATTTAGAAAACACAGGACCATATTTTTTAGTGTCTCGTATAAAATTAAATTCACACGACAAGCAAAAATGTTTCATAGCTGAACACTGTTTTATGAAGATTTTTTTTCCCCTACATTTTCTGTTACTTACCCTGACTAGAAATGTTTCACTAATCCTGTTCTCAGTATGTGTTTCACGCAGGAAGATAATTAAAGGTGCGCCACCTCCTACCCTAATTTTCATGAACTAATCACCTGCTTCTGTGTTAATAAAAACCCAGTGGAAATGTAATAACGCTTTAAAGATTCATAAAACACTGTTGGCATAAATGACGTTTATGATTTATTTTAGACTGGAGGAGTTTTTGTCTTATTAGCTTATTAGCTGTTAGTGTTAGCATCTGGGAGAAACTAATCTAGAATTTAATTAAATAAATCTAAGATAATTTTCTGCTAACTCTCAGACTCTCTTTAAAATAGATAGTTTCTGACTCCATGGAGATTTGATCAAATTTGATAGGAAAATTAGAAAATAGTCATTTTAACTCTGCTATTATGTCAGCTCATCAGGCTGTTCAGCAATCACTTACAGTTGTCTCCAACTCTGTAGATAATTTATTAGACAACATTTTGGTGGTAGATGGAAACAACATGAAAGAACATTGCCACTGGCTAGTTGCTACCAGCTAAAGTTAGAGTCTATTTTATTTTATTAACTAATAATAAACACATAAATATATTTTTCCCAAAATATTACTGAAGTTTCACCTGGTTTTGCTCTCATAACCCTAACATTGTGCAACATCATGAGTTGTGTGCGTTATTACACCCCTACAAATTAATAAGCTACAGTTTTAAATGATCAGAATGTATCTTAAACTGAGATAATTGAATAAATTACACATTTTTAGAAAAACCTCACGATTAGGTTTTTCTTTTTAAAAGGCCTTTTTATGTCAGAATAAAGCATGAAAATGTCACCTCAGGCAATTCAAAATTGGTTTAAACCATGGCTAACCATTTTCTGAAACCAAAGCTCTATCCTCCCAAAATTCAAAATGAAAATACTGATAAAAAAATAAATAAAATCCTGAATGTATTTTTTGGTATTTAAGCGATGTATCACAGATTGAACTGACAAATGTGTTTAGTTTTAGGCAGCTTCTATGTGTGTTTGACTTTGGTGAACCGCATAGCCTTCTGCAGATAAAGGGCAGACTGTAGTCCGCAGGAAGAAAATAACCAATGTAGAAGCTGCCGTCAGCGCACTGTTGTTCAGCTGCAGCGATGCTGTGGTAGTAAGAAAACACCTGAGGTTTCGGTCTTAGTTTACAGTGGGTTAACCACCAGGCCAGCTCTGCTTTCAGCTCTAGGTGAGTGCTTTCCAAGTCGATTGTGTGCTTGTGAGCGAGTGTGTAAATGAACAAATAAAGCGAGAGAGTGAACTAGAAAAACATTGAGGATCCACCGGCACTCAGGTGCTTCCTATGCCCTGCCTCGACCGTTTGCCTGTCTGTACTACTAACTTGACTACTAACTGAACTAACCTGCTAGTGAAACTAACCACCATCCATGGAATGATTCATTCTACTAACCTAACCTGTGCCCTTCTCCTAGCAAAACCACTCCAACCAACCTACCAATCTCACCAGAGGCCTTCTAGCTTTTTCCTTTTTTTTGTTCCCGGAGTTGTTCTGTTCACAGTTTTTTGCCTTCCTTTCTCCCCCTCTCCTACAAAGCACTCAGGCATTGGACACGCTATGGTAAACAAACTCCATTGTTCGGTAGATATCATTCTAATTGTTTCTTAGTTTGGGTTTTCCCCGTGTCTATTTCCTTTTGAATCATAGACATCAAAACTAAACCAATAAAAGGATAAATGCGGTTGGTAATCTCTTACGCTTAAATAGCCCCTCTTCCCTTCTCCTTGCCAACCACGTTTTTATAACAAAATCCCTTTCCTCCCCTATTTCTATGATTTTTTTCTTCACTCCATCACTTTGTGACTGACTTGTAGGCGTGCACAGATTGGCTCATCTCTCACATGCACGCAAATGTCGAGCCCCACCTTCCCTGCATGTCCTGATCAAGAAACCCTTCTCTGATTATTCCACAAATTGATTGAGAGGTTCCCCCTTCCCTCCTTTCTTTTATCCTTCTTTTGAATTTTTCGTCCTACGATCTGTCATGCATGTTCCTCATGGTGCCTTGGAGTCATGCAGTTCTTTGTTTTTTTTATCTGCTGTGTCCTCTTTGCCAGTGGTTGCATGCAGAGAGAGGAGCAGGCTGCATGTCGTTTTGCTATTTATATATATATATATTTGTGTGTGTGCGTGTGTGTGTGTGCGGAATGAGGCTTCGCCCTGCTAACACCTGTATGTACATCAATACGTGTGTTCTCTTCTGTGTGTCATCTCATTCAGACTCGCTGATCCAACAAACCCCCCTCAGACCACAAACTAACACCATCATCACAACTCACACAGCAACATGACATCATCACACCTACTAACAGCATCAAAAATCATTAACCCTGATCTCAGTAACCCACCACAAGTAACACCACTTTGCTTGCCAGCAGTGCTGCAACTAACAACTACTAACCAGCAAATAGCACTAACACCTGCTGTGTAGCACGAAGATGCCTGTGAATACCTAACTAACAGCTGCCTGGCTGGGCAAAATTTGCCTGGCGATGCTAACACTGTATCTTAGTGGGAAAGTAATGTGCTCGCAAGCTTTATAGGCGATTTAACATGGTTAGTAATGTACTGCTGAAAATCTGAGTGATAAAAGTAATTGCAACTTGCATGTGACAGCATTAGATCTCTGTGACAGCTAAAAGCCCCTATAGAGGCCATTAGGCAGCAGAGTGAGCTAATTTAATTACAGGAGAACTAGTGTCTCTGTAGGTAAAGCATTTAGGGGAAATGTTGTTTGTCTACTAGTAAGTAAATCCTACTGCATTTTCTCTACCTAAGCTGTCCGGCAGCTTAGAAGCTAATCATAAAAAAACATTCATTAGTAAAGAAAGAAGAATATTTACTCTGGTTCTGCATAAAGCAGGATGGATTAGTTTGTTATATAATGGCAGTAATTTGCAGTTGAAGTTAATAACAAATGTCGAGAGTACAAATTCATTGTTGTGTGCGCCAAAGCTTTGAGTTTAAGCAAGTCCAAGTCAATCACACACAGAGTCACCATGCTGAATAATTGACTGACTGATATCTCCAGTCTGAAGATGCCAGACCACATGGAGTAATATGGCACAAACATAATGTAGTTCCAGCATCACCACAATCAGATCTGCTCAGTTAAACGTCACAGTCAGCACTGATCCAAATACATTAACTCAAATCCCACCAGAAGCACAACCATCCCTCCTCCAAAACCAATCCGGGCTTTTCCAAACAGAAGGCACATACATTTGGTTACTACAGTAACGGGGGCTAATTTGGCTGGTCAGCGCCGAGCTAGCGCTTAGCGCTGCCTTTGGTGTGAGTATATAGCGTGTCCTTTCCCTGTGCTTTGTTGTGTAGGTGACGATCTCTGTGGACGGGATCCTGACCACGACGGGATACACGCAGGAGGATTACACCATGCTGGGCTCCGATGACTTCTTCTACGTGGGAGGAAGTCCCAGCACAGCGGACCTTCCTGGTTCTCCTGTCAGCAACAACTTCATGGGTTGCCTCAAAGAGGTGCGATGCAAGCTTAATGGTGCAAATACACACTCAAATTGTGATTGACAACTGTGATAGTGGTGAAAAGATGTAGCTCAAAACAATTCACATCTCTGGCAGATTTTAATTTACTGAATTAATTAGAAACTGAACATTTTATTATTATTATTATTATTTCTCTCATGTTTTCTGTAAAAATGCAAAATGCTAAAAAAAACTGTCTTTACAGTTTACAAAAGAATAAATGGAAATTCATGAATCTGCAAAAATTGAAACCCTAGGGCACCAATGAACTAAATATAAAAACAACCATATAGAACCAGAGAAAACTAGATCAATGCATAATAACCTGTTGGAATGGCCCAGTCAAAGTTCAGATCTAAATCTACATGAGAACCTTTGGTAGAATGATAAATTTAAGTTCACTTTTGCTCCCAATCCAATTTGACAGTGATGGAAAGACAGATGGATTGCAAAAATGAACGAAAAGGAACATTTTCTCCCAATATTAGTGCAAATATTCCCATTACTAAATTAACATTTAATTAATTCCCCTTTCTCTTTACAGTTATTCGCCATTTTGTATTAGTCTATCATAAAACACCATTAAAATGCAGTACAGTTTGTGGTCGTAACAAGACAATATGTGAGAAAGTTCTAAAATATGAATAGTTTTATTCTCATTTATTCACTGTTTTCCTTATTCATTCCCTTCATTAAAAGTCGGTAAACTATAACTTTTGAGCATAGCCTGTCTTACTTTATGCTTTCATCCTGCACAAATTTAAGTTTTCATAAAGTAGACTTTTTTCTTATGCTTTGTTTCCTTCTAGTGCTCCCCCCTTTCTCTCTCTCTGTCACGCAAGACAAACATTTCACACACATTATCTTCTAATACGCACACACCGAAATTCTTCCATTTGGCAGACTCACACAAACAGTCCCAGACACACACAACCCATCCAGCATCAGACAGAATCAGTGATGAGTGTCGTTGAGGGAGAAGATACAGCACTAAGCTCTAACATGCTAATTAGCTACGCCACAGAGACGCTCCATCTATCCGCTCTGCTTGAAATGGGACACAACGCCGCAGCACCAAAGACTAGCATGACATACCGACAAGAACACACAAACGCACACATTATGCCAATAAATGTAGTGTTTTGCACAAATTTGCCCAAAAATGCAGAGAAAATTAAAACGATCAAACCAAAATGAGTGCACCTTTGAATGCAAACCACTTTTCTCATACATCGTCTTGCTTATGTAATACACAACCTGACTGAGTTTCCTTTTCGCTCACAGGATTCACACAGAGGCATAAACAAACAACCCAACAAGCCGATAGATGATGTGCCAAACAGAGAGCTGTCTGTATCGGTGCTGAATGCTCTCTGTGTTGCTTCATTAAGACTGATGGTGTTTAAACAAGACCGCCACAGTCAAAGTGAACTCTCCACTGCCAAATTTGCATATTTAATACAATGATATGATAATCCATGTGAGCAAATTAGGATGTATGCAGCAAATCACACGCGTGAACAATCGCGGCTATAACAATTTTTAGCATTCGATGCGCCGCAGGCTCATTCTTCCACACAAACACACTCCCACATGCTAACACCACTTTGCAGAAGTTATTATTTTCAAGAGTCACCTTAGTATCACTGCAAACACACCCAAATGCCCCTGACGAACAGTAAATGAGAAAACAGCGGTGGAAAGTCCGTGTTGTTGCTCAAAGGTCATATGAGAAGATCTGGTTTATTAAAGAGGAGCTTGTGTGAGCTTGTCCCTGTCAGCATCAGAATGCTCAGCACAGGCACACTCTTTACACTCATGCGGCTCAGCGATAATGCAGACTGTGTCGTAGAAGGGGGAACGAGAGAAAAGCAAAAGCAAAGAGGATAAAATTGAAAAACCTCTTATGAAAGTGGCAGGGTCAGGATGTTTCAGAGGATTCATCTGAAAGAAGCTCAGCCTGCTCTTAAGGTTGCTGATTTGAATGAAAATGCTAAAAACATTTGAACTGGAAAGAAATGTGGCGATAGCGAAGGAATGCAGCGAAGCCTTGAAGTTTTTCACATTTTCTTGTTTCAAAATTACATATATTCTATGTACTGCATTTAAATGAGTTTTTATGCAATAGCACAACAAACGAAGTAGATAATTGTGTGGTAAAAAGAAAATGATACATGGTTTTCAAATATTTTCACCCCTTTCTACTCTGATACTGTGAAATAAAATCCATGTGACTTCAAAACTCAGAATAAGTTCCTCAGAGGAGCATCATGAAACTCAAGGAAGACAGAGTTGATTTAGATCTAAACATATCCATCTATTAAAGTGGCCTAGTCAAAGTCCAAGACTAAAACCTAATAGGAATTTATAGGATGTCTTGAAAATTTATGTTAACAGGTACCTTTTCTCCAATCTGACTGAACTTGAGTCATTTTATAGAGCAGAATCAACACAAAAGTCAGTTTCTATGTGTATGAAGCTGGGAGAGGCTGAAGAAACGTCTCACTTTTCACAAATACACTGAACCCCATTGAAAACCTCACGGTTATTCCACCAAATAATGATTTCTGAGTTAAATGTTAGTATTGTTGTTTCTAAATTAATAGAATTAATTTTCTTTGCATTGCATGAGGTCTGAAAGCACTGCATCTTTTTTGTTATTTTGACCATTTTCTGAACAGAAATACAAAATTTTTACTTGGATTTTCAGAGCCATATTGTCAGAACAATGTTCATTTCACTGAAACATATAAATAAACATTTTAAGTGGTCTCTTAATTTTTCATTTCAGATTTATGCTCAGTTGTGTGTTGGGTTATCATAAAATATTATACATTCATGTGCATTTTTATGTTTTTTGTATGAGTTATGTCTTCAGGTTTTTCTCACTTCATTCACTACTGAGATACAAATGAGACCATTAAAAGCTTGTTTTTTCATTTTCTCTCTGTGAAGGTGGTATACAAGAACAACGATGTGCGGTTGGAGCTTTCAAGACTGGCCAAACAGGGCGACCCAAAGATGAAGGTATTCACTTTTAACTGTATAAAACAATGCATTATCCTCTTACACACTGAACATGTGCACTTTTTTGTATCATAACCCCCAGCTATGTCCCATGAGTCTTTAACTGTAAGGAATTCAACTAAATGGGATTACATTTGTTAAAGGCACTCAACCTCTTTGGTCTTTTACTCTGCTCACAGCTGGGAAGCTGGCTTCATTTCAGCCTCAGACTACAAAGGAGCCGTTTTTGGCCTTGATTTTTAGTACTAAATGTCTCAAACCTTTTTGTGTAACCTTCACAGGTCAGTGGTGTTGTGTCCTTTAAATGCGAGAGCGTGGCAACGCTGGATCCAGTGACGTTTGACACCCCAGAGTCATTCGTGGCTTTGAGCAAGTGGATGGCGAAGAAGGCAGGATCCATTTCGTTTGACTTCAGGACCACAGAGCCGAACGGGCTGATGCTTTTCAGCCATGGCAAACCCAGACAACAGCAGCGCAAAGACCCCCGCACTCCTCCTACCATCAAGGTGAAGCTAACAAAGCACCACCAACAACTTCAAGCTAAAACAGATCAAAACCATGAATAGCTCATCAAAAGACGATACATTAATTGAATTGCTCACCAATCAAAGTGAAAAATTTTGTGCTTTATGTTGAACATCTGTTATTTTTTTCCATCCAATTAAAAATTTGAGATTGAGCCCTCAAAAATATTCCTTTAATCATCATTTGTATGTGAACTGAGTTCTGGTTTTTCAAAGACATCAATATTTAGGTTTTAAAATTACAACTTCTAGAAAACCGTGAACCCTCATTCATGTTTTTTAAGTCATGTTCATGACTTAAAAATATCATTTTTAAACACAATTGCAAGCAAAGATACAGTTTCCTCCACATTAGTAAAGATGCAAAAAGAAAACTTAAAATAGATTAACCTTTTTCTAAAGCATCCACCTTGGAAAATGTAAAATAAATCTATGTTAGGGTGTCACACTTCTGCAATTCCTCCAAATATAACTGAATGATAGTATTGCAGTTATTATTACAGTGTAACACCGGCCTTGTTTCATAATTTTCTCTATGTTTGTAGAGGATGTGTCCACTGGGAAACTGTTCCCTCAGCTATTTTCTCCATGACTGTTTAGATTAAAACATGGCCATATTCCAACGTTTCTGCGTCAAAAATGATCCTTTTCCCATCTTTTCATAAGCTTTTAAACTGCTAATTATCACAATCAGATGTGTTAGATATTGTGAATGTCATTTATAAATATTTAATTTTCAAAAGGTAGTGTGTGTGAGAGATGATTGGGCTACAGAAAACATTTTTTTGAAAGTCTGTGTGTTTTCAACTGAATTAGGATTTTTTTCAATCCATTTTTCTCAACCAGGTCAGGTTTTTATTCTAATTTGACTCGGAGAAATCGGGTCTTCTGACAAAATTGATGACATTTCTGTGACAGCATCAATTAATTTCCATTAATATTTCTCATTAAAAAAAGATTTTAGGACAAAAACATTGTTTTCTAACAGAGTGTATTAGTTGAATGTTATAAACTTTGATTTATCAGTGTTTATTGAATAATAAACACTGATAAGGGTAAGTACATGTAAATTGAGCATTACGTCTTCATCTCTCCCGTTGTTCATCACTCATTGATCCCTGATCTCAGGAAACCAACCGTTTGTGAGAACAAGTCATGCATTGTGATGCTCATGTTGCACCCATAGTTCCTAATGTTGACCTGGTTGAGTAAAACCAATGTGAGTTTTGGATTCAGCACATCAAAATGACCATAAAACAGTTAAAAAAAAAAAAAAACATTTCTTGGCTGTTGACCAGTGTTATTGGATTAAACGTTTTCATTATTTCTGCCATTTTCCCAGCATGTTGACAATTTTTATGCTGATTGTACAGGTGGATTTTTTTGCCATTGAAATGCTGGATGGTCACCTGTACCTGCTGCTGGACATGGGATCTGGGACCACAAAGACCAAGGCCATCGACAGAAAGGTCAACGACGGGGAATGGTATCACGTCGACTTCCAGAGAGATGGACGCTCAGGTAAACTTTCTCTGAAATGTGATGTAAGCATTAAAACGATTCCCATGTTTTAATGACTCAGAGCTTCTAAATGCACCTCAAGCTTTTGCAGGCATTTTATTCAAGATAGTGACTGCATTTCACTTCAAAGAGCATTTTATTTTTTTTGAAAAAGAACAGCTAAATAGTTTTCTGTGTGTCTTGGTCAATAACTTCACAACAGGGTCAAGACGTGATCAGCTTAGATATGTAAACATAATGTCAGAAAAACAACTTTTAGCACATTTTGACCCAAAGTCTGATGCATTTGAGCTTCATTGCATTTCACAAATGGTTTTTAGGAGAAATTTGGTAAAAAAAACAAATTTAATAAACTAAAATATATACATGGGTGAACTCAAAAGAGCTCAGATCAACAGCTTTATGCCTTTTGTAATGTCACCATAATGACTTTTTAACATTTCTCCACTAAATTGTAAAATAAATTAATACAAGTTGTCCATGGTAACTTTCTATAGATAAAACACCATATCAAACATAAATGGGGCTAATTTTAAAAAAAAAGTCTTGCTGGTAACTTTAACCTATTTCTTTAAGCATACTTAAGGAGAGCCTTGGAAAAACCAAAGATTTATTTTAATCAGTTTGTTCATATGTTCTGCGCAGCCTTGCACTTGTGTTGCTATTGTTCTACCTCTGTGTTAATTATAGACTAAAAGCCTTCAGTAGAGGCTGCCAGTGTTCTTGACAGAGGTCTTGTTTGAATGTTGTAACTGAATAAATGTCTGAAAATAAGGGAATTAATGATTTATTGGTGGCACAATAGAGAATGTAGCACTTTTAGCCCAGCTGGAGTTGGCAAATATAAAGAAAAAGCAAAAACAAAAACAAATAGTCACTCTCTGTTCTAACGCCATCGCTTCATCTTAGCATGGGATTATTTAAATGGTTTTATATGCTCCAAAAATAAAACACTATTAGCAGAAATATGAAACTCATCTTCTATTATCACTCTGTTCTACCACAGAAAAGTCTCCTATCCGGGGTCAGCAAAAACATTCGAATGCATCTCTGGACCTTTTTGTTTACTTCAATTGACAAGATTAATTAGTTCTAGGCTTTAGAAAGAAACTTAAAACATGTTTTAGAACAATTAAAATCAAAGCATTTGTGTTACTTTATCCACTACAACCGCCATCATGAACATGTTTAGGTTAAAAACAGAATTTCAGTCATCAACTAAAGCACCAAATCACATACTAGAGCTAAAAAAGCAAAACAAAGCAAAAAATAGTTCAGCAAATATTTGTTTTTTACAGTTTTATCAGTTGTTGAATTGTACTGTATACTTAATAAACTACTGTAGGGCTGAAGCGAGTAATCAGATTAATTGTGATTAATCAAATATTCAAATAATCGTTAACTAATATAGAAATAGATTAATCACCAACTGGAGTTTACAGATTCAAAAAAGGTCATTTTGTGAAATACCAACATAGTCAGATCTGTGGCTAAACCAAAACTGGACAAAAAATTTTGATATTTTGCATTTAAGATGAAAAAAAAAAAACTTGAAAAAAAAAACTTAATCTGTAAATACGCTCGACCCAGAGCTACTCAAGTTTTAGCTTCACCGGGTTCCAAAACTGTAAGCTAAAGCTAATTTTTGTCAATAAAATGTTTTTTTTTTGTTGTTTTTTTCTACTTAAAACTGGATTATTTATTTATTCATTTGCATCTTTTAATGTATTTATAATATAGTATACATAGGCTGAAGTGGTTAAGTAAAAAATCTGAAGCATTTGCCTATGTAGGAAAAATTTAGCAATTTTTAATCAGATAAAATATGCTCAAATTTTTATCTGATACATTAATCATCAGAGTAATCGATAGAATAATTATTATCAAGATAATCTTTAGTTTCAGGTGAGGTAATTAACTAAGATGTCAATAGTTTGGGTTGATAAACTATTTTCTGTTCGTTCATTATTAAAATAATTTAGTAAGGTCCACTAAGACTCACAGAAAGTGAAGTTAATAAATTATTATAAAATTTTTACTCAGCACATCCCAGCGTTCAGGGTGATGAGTAAGGCAAGTGTAGTTTGGGATTTTAATTGCCTCTGACTATAACAGTGATGTGTGGGTGATGATGAGGAAGGGAAAGATTGACGCTGATGATGATGACTCTAGAATGTGATGCGAATGATCACGCTGAAGGTCAGCACAGTTTTAAAGGTTGTTTCGATGGACACAGGAACCATCTCGGTGAACAGCGTGAGAACGGCGTACACGGCTCCCGGGGACAGCGAGATCCTGGACCTGGATGACACGCTGTACCTCGGAGGACTTCCTGAGGATCGTGCAGGACTCATTTTCCCCACAGAGGTTTGTGTGTGGCATATTTAATTTCACAGCAGCGCAGAAATCTTTTCTTCAGAGAAGACGTTCAGATATGATGGACGAAGCTAAATGCTGGTTAATCCTGAATGAAAAGATTTAAGGCTGGGCCGTATGTTCACCTTACAGCAGCACTACGACCCAAAACACAGAGAGCAAAGAGAGCGTCGATCAAAGTGTTTCATGACTGCGACTTGCCCTGACCTAACCCTATCTAACTCTGATCAATAATCAGTGGCAATACTTAAAACATCCTCTCTCCTTCCAATTTAACCAAACTTCAGAGGAAAGGGCGAAACTTTCAGTCTGTAGATGTACAAAGCGGAAAACTTGTAGTTTTAATTGCTGCAAAAAATTATTCCACGAAGCATTGACTGGCCAAACTACAAATGATCAGCACACCTTTTGGATCAAATACTTCGAGAACCATTTATCATTTTATAAAATAAAATGCATTGACGGTTATGGTTGTAATGCTAGAAAAATGTGAAAAAGCTGAAATTTTGCAAGGTTCTGTAGTTAGTTGTTTAACATAAATAATTTAAGTTTATCTGAAAGAAAATATCCGACTGGAGTCATTGGACACTATATTGATCTGCCTGCTTTGTAGTGTTTTATTTAACTTGCCTCATCCAGCAGGCAAACAAGCAAAAATAGGCATTTTCGATTTTTCTCAAATCACTTTACCAATAGATAATTATTTGTCTGATTAATTTTTAATTGGTTGCTCCTTTTTAGAGGTTAAGCTTTAGGGGAAAAAAACAAAAAAAAAAAAACTAGTTTAAGCTATGCAAAGATGTGCTGCATCATTTAAGGCACATATCAGGTGATTCTTTTGCTGGATACCTTACTCAGGTTTCACAGCAAAGCTGCATTTATGTCTACATTTATAATATATAACACAACTGGGCTGATACCTCAAATAAGGTAATCTAAAATGGATACAAAAATCCACCGTACCAGCTGAAAAACACTGCGTTCTAGGCTCTGCGTTAACCAGGAGTTGATTGATGGTGTGTGTTTTTCTTTGTGGCACTTTGCTCGTACATGATTAATGGCAGAATTAACTATGATGGTTCTGATAGATCCACAGTGCTTTAAAGTGACGCCTTCTCCCACCTGCAGAGAGTCACAACTTCATGAAGAAGCTCACTCTGCACTAGAATCCACTCATTATTTCTAGGTAGTTTATGCATAGGTGATAAGCAAAAGTGTAGAATCAGTTTTGCCATCTATTACTTGCTTTTCCCTTGCATTATCATTCTGCTACAAATTCATACTCCTTGGTTTTCAATCTCCTTTGCCAGATCTTTTATTTATAGTCTGTTGATGCTTTTAGTCTCTCTTGGGATAAAACTCACCGTAAGATATAATGTAAGGCTTTCTCCAAAACTAGCTTAAAAGGCCAAATCACTCCTGCATGAAATATTTGTGACCCTTAACAACTCTAATTTTCACATTAAGGTATAACAACTGCTACAGATATATGACAATTTTTTAATTAATCTTGGTTAAATCTGATTCCATTTCATGTGTCAACAGGAGTAGAAATGCTGACCAGATCATAAAATGGTGTACAGAACCACACCGACCCATTCATTAAAGCTCTCACCTCCACACATGCAAAAACAACCAGACAGCAAAACATATGACAAAAATACAGAGGAGCTATACCCCTAACAAGAACTGAAACATGTTTATAAATATGCAAAACAAGAAAAACGCATCGCAAATAAAAATGATTATTCGTTCTTCAGGTGTGGACAGCCCTGCTGAACTACGGGTACGTAGGCTGCATCAGAGACTTGTTTGTGGACGGGCAGAGTAAAGACATCAGGCGGCTTGCTGAGGCCCAGCGGGCGGTCGGAGTGAAGCCTTCGTGCACCAAGGAGCTGCCCAAACAGTGCCTGTCCAACCCCTGCCAGCACAACGGCAACTGCAGGGAGGGCTGGAACCGCTACGTCTGCGACTGCTCCGGCACTGGATACCTGGGGCGCTCCTGTGAGCGAGGTGAGAATGACGAGACGCCAGCGAGGAAGGTGGTGAGAAATAAACTCTTCAACTGGACTCTTGGCAGGCTATTGTCACGCTCGTCGATGACAAACTCCCTTTCTCACAATAGAGATGAGTCAGATAACTAAAAACAGCCTCTAAACACCAACATTTTGCGAAAAATATTTCAATGTCATGATGTAAAATGCAGCCGTAATGACAGACATGTCATTTGTCATCCTGAGAAGAACGCCTATGGAATGAGTGACAGAAGACGGATGATAAAGGGCAGAAAGTCAGAAGCAGTCCTAGTCAGAAACACCCTCATCCACAGTCAAAAATACATTATGATCATCAGTTATACTCGGCCATAAAATCTTTATTCATTATACCTGTGAGTTATGCTTTTATTCCTTTAAAAGCCCCATCCTAGCAGATTACATCAGCATGACAGTACTTGCTCTGATGTGCTAAAAAGCCACGCTCATAAAAATTTATGGTAGATAAAAATGTGACTAAAGTCCTTTTCAAATAAAAGAGCTGAAATGGAGTTTACCCTCAACTGCCTCTCTTCTGATGCAGAGAGGAGGGCAGAAGAAGAGCGCAGTCGGTAGCGGCAGATGCTACGCAGGCATATTTTTTTGGACCACCATTCAAATGCTTTACAGAAAATTCCATAAAAAATAAATACATAAATAGTAAAATCCCATTTATAACAAATTAATAGACAAGAAAAGATTAATTTAACTATATTCTGTGTATATCAAGTGTGAAAGAGCATTGAAACTAGATGCTGCCTCTCTTTAGTTCTGGCCCTGTGAGCACTGACTGGTCTCTCTTGACCTGAAGGGTATAGATTAAAGGTTATTGGCCAGTAATTAGATTTCAAAGTCGACCATTTTCAAACAGGGAGCCGGTGCAGTTACTTAAGGTCTGCTGGGATCTATTTTCCTGTTGTTAACAAACAAGAGGAAATTCTGACTCATTCCACTAATTGAACACTTTTTGACTGACAGGAATTGTGTTTGTGCCCTGATTAAGAAAGGCAATGTTAGAATACATATGGAAATAGAATTAGCGGTTCTTCATAATCTGAGCTATGGGGAAGATCGTAACATTTGCTAATCTAAATAAGTTTAATTTGGCTGTCCTGAGAGCAAAATGTCAATTTTAGTTGAAGAGGTTGATACTAGACCCCTAGTATTAATTTAATAACCTGGATATTAAATAAAAGCGTCCTGAGAATTAAGCTCTGAGGAACCCCAAATGTGATTTCTGATTTTTTTATTATTATTATTATTATTACTATTGTTACTAAATAAGACAAAGTGGTCCTTCTCTGCTAAATGATAACCTTAGCCAATTTTGCACACAACCAAATCCTGCTCCAACCCACTAACCGGTATGTTTTGATCAAGTGTGTTAACTGTGTTGGTATAAAATACTCAGCAGCAAAATAATAGTAGTTTAATCTCTGGCTGAATCTGTTTTTCGATTTTATTCAAAAGTACACAGTTTCTGTGTCGGAGGCAGAGTAGTAAAATGCAGGCAGAGGAAGGAACAAAGGTGAAAGAAAAGTGGTGGGAGGAAGCAGAGCTGCAGACAGGGCTATTGGACGGCTATAGATGTAGTGACTGGGAATCGATGAGAGAGGAAATGTGCAGAAAGCGGGGAGCGGGAGCCATGACAGAGGAGGGAGGAGGAGGAAAGGAGAGGGAGGATTCACCGGGTTGGAACCACCATATGACAGAGTGTGAGATGGGAATAGAAAATCTGCCTGAGAGGGAGAGTTATGAGAAAACGTATGAGTTCACATCGAAAGCGAATCGACAGAGGTACTGATAGAGGCCTGTTGGAAGAAGCGAGATGGAGTCAGACAAGAAGAAAAAAATAAGGACGAAATGTTGTTTATGTCACAACCAGTGATGCGTCTCAAGTGATGATTGTACTATCATCTAACAACAGATATACAGTGCGCACACAAATGCACACAGGCTTCCTGAAAGGTGTTGATATGAAAATGTTTTATTTCAGAGGACAAAAATCTGAAGCGAGTCCTTCTCCGGTTTTCCGTTGCTCTTTCTTCCTATCTATATCTTTCTTCATCCCTCTCTGTGTGCACTGAGGGGTCACTAACTGGTGGATCAGTGGATTGAGGAAGCACAGATGGAGAAGCAGATGGAGGGAGTGATTGCCCGTGTTTATGCCTTCTACCTGCGGTTTCTCCATCCCTCTTTTTTTCTTCCTCATTCTCCCACTCTCTTTGTTATCCCCTCTCTCTCTCTCTCTCTCTCTCTCTTTCTCTCTCTACTTTATTAAACAAACACAGTTACTGTGCTTGAGGACAGAGGTTCTTTTAATTGCACCACATATTTTGAGTTTCATCTTGCCTTTCTTTCATTTGATGACAGAATGAGTTAAGAGAATAACAAAAGAACATAAAATACTCAATTCAAAAGCTATAAGGGTAGGCTTGCAAAATAGAAATGTGGTAAGTAATTAAATAAAATTTAAATGTACTATTGTTATCTGCTCCACTATGCATAAAAAGCTTCTTCTGAGTCGCAGTAGAAAGATTTCACAATAAATTATTAGGTAAAAAATCCTAGCTTTTGTATTTATTGGGGAAACATATCCCTGTTGTCAACAAAATCAACAATGTCATAATTATTCCTTTGAAATGAATGCAACTAAAGGAATTTAACTGGAGGAATTTTGTAATTTATAAATTTCCAAATTTGAAGTTTCTGTTTCAGTGATATACAAAAATGTGACATAAACCTTCCACTTCTCTTAGCCGCTCTTTAAAATGGGAAAGGCAAGAGCACATGCCGTGCAAATATGTCTATCGCTCACTGAAAGTAATTGCAACCATCATTTCACAGCTAAGAACTAAAAACATCTGGGCTGATATGTCTTGACGACAGCTACGATACTCAGATTTAATAAAATCAACATACAAACAGAGATTGAACTTTCCTGGCATCACTGACATGGTTAATATATATAGATTGTTTTATAGGACTTAAACTTGTTACTGAACATATCGTATATGAAAATGGTGGGTTGGGATCTGCTCACCAGAGTTAAGGTTAGACAGAAATTAAGATATAAAGCCATATTTTTGCCTTCGAGTCACAATGAGGTCCTTGACACCAGGGAAAACACTGGATGCCACTATCTTTGTTCCTTATTCTTCCCGGTATGAACCATGTCGTGGAAGTTACAGGCGTTTAATGGTTTGTGACACAGCCAGTGTGCATTTTGCTGTCGCTTTCTTTTCCATTTCCTGGCATAAATAGACCTGCACTCTTCCTTCTCACTGACTCTCCATCCTCTGTTTGGCTGGTTGTGAGTCAGGTGCTGTGGTTTGGAAAATTTAGTCAGCTGTCTCGCTTATCAAAAATGTATGCACGTGTGCGCCCAAGTGAGTGTATGTGTGGCTGTTAGTTATGTTATCTGTGATATAACAGGCCAACCACCTTCTTTTTTTTTCGTCAAGTTAATGAGGATTCATTTGCATTTTAGCCAAGAGCTTTGCTGCCTCTCCCTCGTCTTTTTTCTCCCTTTCGTGCTCTGTCCTTATTTTCTCTCCCCCTGCTCTCACTTTACTAAACCCCTCTCTGTTCACACTTAAATTCACTCACTTATTCTGACATGCACACACAGACACACACTATCTCTCTCTTTCCCTCCTTCTTAGCTCATCAGTATTCATGACGCCTTACTCCCTTCCTGTTCTCTTGTTTTTTTTTTTTTTTTTTTTTTTGCTTCAGCTTCAACCGTCTCCCACAGAAACAGGGTGAGCAAATCTAAAGCATGAATTGCGTGGAGAGATATGTGGGGAATGGAAGAAGGAGGACAGGAGATAACGATGCAGATGCATGGAGAGCGCATGTAGTTGTGTGGATGTAATAGTCCAATAAAAATAGGGACTCTCCAAGGTAAACAGTTTAGCAGTTTGGGACTGTCCTCAGCAGGTAGCAGGGAGAGAAGATTATGAATATGCAAATGAGTATGCAAAAGACATTAAAGTGGGATCACCTGAGCTTGTTACATTATGACTCCGGGGTCCGGGATGTCAGCGGTGGTGGCTAACACACTCGGTACCTTGCATTTTGATTTAAGCGGATAATGGGGCCAGACAACCAGCTGCAGCTATTTTTGCACCCTCTCCTCCAAGGCGAGGGAGTGATGATGAATCAGGGTTGGGAAAGTGACGGGATAATTTTGTCGGAAGCAGGTTTTGAGTCTCAACATGTCGCGACGGGGGAAATAAGGGAGTGCGGCAGTACCGAAACATACTTTGTCATGTATAAATCTGATTCACTCTTTGTCAGAGAATGCTTTTGTGCTTTTCTCTTTCCCTACCTCGTGTTTCTTCCCCCCCTCCGTCAATCACAGCTTTGCCATTTCTCCGTTTTGCATGTTTCCTGCACAGACGCAACCATCCTCTCCTACGACGGCAGTAAGTTTATGAAGGTGCAGCTGCCTGTGGCGATGCACACGGAGGCGGAGGACGTGTCGCTTCGCTTTCGCTCCCAGCGGGCCTACGGCATTCTCATGGCAACCACATCCCGGAACTCTGCAGACACCCTTCGTCTGGAGTTGGATGGCGGCCGAGTCCGACTCACTGTAAACCTAGGTACACCCAACCGCACCCAGATGTATAAATACACAGCAGAATCTTAAATTTTAATTGCCCGTCGGGGGAATGCAGCTGACACCAGCCTCCTGGCTACTTCCTGCACAGATTTATATGTTGAAGAATCATTATGTGTTACTATTCTGAACAAATCTAGAAAATTCAGCTGTATCTGTGGTAATCTGACTCATTCTTGACAGACTTTGGTAGGAATTCAAATTTGTTCCCTGGTGACGATCTATAAAAAGCTTCAACATAAATTCATCTTTTATCACAGTGGCACAGTCCCAATTATGTTACTGCTGTAAAATCCAACCTTTATTTTGAGGACATTTATTCAGTGGAAATCATAACTGTTTTTACCAAAATCATAAACTTTTAAATCTTAAAAGACGCTCATAATACTTTCTACGTATTTTGTGTCTGTGGGCATCTGGTTAAAAATATCTATGGTGATTCTTCTTTTGGATCATCGACCTGATCAAACATTTTCAGTATTCTTGCAGAGACCACCAGATTTTTACAGAATATGAATCCCAGGGCTTGTGGAAGAGAAACAGGCCCAAAGCATCATGCACCTTTCACCATACTTAACAGTGGGCATGGGGTGTTTCTTCACAGATTCATCCCTGAGGAGTCTGCAACCTGTAACGCCATAATTTACTTCCAATGCTCTTGACTTACGGTCGAGAGCATCGATTGCAGATCGATTCTCCAGACCCATTGAGTGTTTTAACTGCTATAATCTGGACTTAATCAGGTAATGAGTCTAGTTAAAGTTTCAGCAAATTTCAGCAAATGCAATGGAAGCTCAGAAAAGGGTTTTTTTAAAGACATGGTGTCCAAATAAAGGTTACCATGGATACTTGGTGAACAAAAGATACCAGTTTTTACAGTTCACTTTTGAGATTCTTTTTATTATTCATTAAAATGGTCTCACTGAGTGGTAGCAAATTTAATTAGTGTCATGGATCATAAGTCAACTTCTAAAGTTATCACACATCTGCCTTAATTGGATGCTGTTTTCTCTTGTCTTTCCCATTTTGAGAGGTGGCTGAAAGAGGCTGACCTTTGCTCCATGCAAATTTATATCCCAGGGAAACAGAAAGTCATTAATTACTAATTGGAAGTTCCTGTTTAATGTGCGTAACATAGAAATGCTTCAGCTGCATATATTTTAAAGCTATTGTTAGTTGAAACAATAATTGTACAACTGTTTAAAAAAAACACATTATTCACCAAATCAAAATGCATTTATTAAGATTTTTTTCCCTAAATGGGTAAATGTTCTCAAATTAAAGGTTGGTGCAAAAAGAGTTTAAGATTTTAAATTTCTCTTAAGGTTTTATACACATCTTTACCAGGAAGGCCAATTTATGTGAACCAGAGGTGTGTTTTATCATCAGTACGTTGCTCACGGTGTTTAAATACACACCAACAAGTACAGTCGAACAGAGGGTCAAGCCTTGAGCTGCATTCTCTCTGCTCACTCCCAGCAGACCTGTGCATCCCCAACATCCTCAAACTTCTCAGAGCTACAACATGCAACTAGTTCACTTCACACGTACAAGCAGCTCATTTTTCTGCTTCATTTCAGTCTTAGTTTGCACATGAGTTTCAATGCTTACACAAAGTAACACACACACATCCTCACAGAGGGGTGCATGTGTTGGTCTCTGGTTGTCTGCAGCCACGTCTTTTCTGTGGTTGACGCCACACGACACACCAAGGGATCGTGGGTTAAAAAAAAGAAGAAAGGAGAGAAGGTTTAATCTTCCAGGCTTTTTGTGAAGGTTATTCCTTGAAAGGGGCGACTAAACTTCTGGCATGTGTTCGGTGTAGCGGCAATCAACTACTTTAATTCATTTCATAGTCGATAAACTGATAAGTCTCACAGATTACTAAAAATCCAATCAGTCTCATAGTCTGTCAATAGAACTAATTGCAGCTTGTGGGTAAATTTGACCTTTTTATTGCATTAACTGCACTTAAAAAAGAGGAAGTTTTATCATTTCCATGATTAATATTAATTGAATGAATCAATATAGAAAATTAACAGTTTATTGGTCCCTGAAGACAAATGAGATCTACTAATCATTTAATGTCTAAGTACTACTGATAAAAACAAGCTAAATAAAATAGGATGGACAGAAACTAATTACCTAAACACAAAAAAGGCATTTAACAAAAACCAAATGCTATTTATACAGGAATTAAAGCTGATTAAACAACTTAAAGTTATCAAGAATTTGTTTCACCCAAAGATGTCAAGAGGAAGGTCCTTTCAATTATCTAATTTAAATGGTCGAAGAGGCAGATAATCCTTCCACATTCAGTTTCAGAGTAGCATATATAGAAGAGTGTCTTACTTTGCTCTGACACCCACCAACGATCATCTAATGCTTTTTGGAGGGAATAACTGCATAGCTGGCCAAGTGGAGGGTTTATCTGATTCAGAACCAGATGACACGTCTGGAGAAAATTAATGTAAACACACATTCGACTTGTGTGTTTTACAAAATTCAGGTAACTATCGTAAAAGTGCTGCACCATATTAGAAAATCATACATTTAGGACAATATCAACCAATACTGGAATAATTATATCAGATCCCAGTTTTCTTCACTTTTCCCATTTGTGTCCATCAGCATTTTGGGAACTATAGTCTGCATCAGCTCTGGGCATTTATCATAGTGATACTCCACCCATTAAAATTATTTTGTAATGCATTAACATGAAACATGTGCACTCAGAACTCTAAAAATATAATAGCTATTTCAGCCCAAACAGTACTTTGTAAAAGTATTACCTACTTCTTGTGCAGCCTCAAAGAATGATCACTCTGGCTTCTTTGATTAGCTAAATTGTGTCACAGAGAACAAAGCAACCAATCAGGAGTGGATTTTGCTGCAACCATGGTAACTAATTATTGTGAGAGGGAATATCACATTACCAAATTTTAATTGCCTCTTTAACATCAGATGGACAAAGCTTGTGCAGATTAAGTGTGTCAATAAGGACCTGGGTCACAATAATTTCGATTACAATACAAGCAAGATGGTGAAGCAGCTGGGACTGTTGGAGAAAACATGAATTATCTTCATGAATATTCTTTATTTTCAATAAGCTTTTCTAATGTTGAAACTTGTCTCAATCAGAAAACCCAGAAAACCAAAGAGTCATTCTAAGGCCAAAATCCAAAAAGTTGGTTCACGCTACAGCTGTCAATACACAAACTGACTCACATGACCCATCTCACTCCAAAGCCGTCGCTCAGGCCACTGCAGCCAGTAACCATGCTGCTTCACGCCCAAATTGAAACATTCTGATTTTTCTCCAGACTTACCAATAAATTTCACGGTCGGAGGAGATGAATTTTGCAGCACACTGTTATAAGAAAACACAGAGTCCATTTTATGGTCCAGTGAGTGTTTCCTCAGCAGTGTATTTGCAAAGCGTCCGCGCAGGGTGTGTCGACGTGTGCGTCCCCAGGGCGTGGGGAGTATTTGTTTGTGTGTGCAGCATTAACCCTCTGCTCTGCTCTCCCTCCAGACTGTATCAGGATAAACTGTACAGCCAGTAAGTGATCCTCCATCTCACCTAACTCCTCCCCTCTTTTTCCCCAGTATGCGTGAATGATTGTGTGTGTGTGTCTGTGTGTATATTGTAGAGAGTGCTTTTAATATGTCCAATTAGTTTTTACTCCTTTTGTCATGTTCATATGTTTCATCTTAATCTCTTATTCAACCATCTTCGTGCCATATGTCTGCTTGCAGATACACACATGTGGTATAAAACAAAGGCAATATGGGAGTTGAGTGTGTCCATGTTAGGTTACACTGCAGGGAGAGGCGCGATAATTTTTTTTTTTTTGCTGAGGGCCAGGGTTTTCCAGGTCAGCCATTTTAGCTGAGAAGGATGGATGGAGGAGAGGAAGTGAAGGGAGTGTAAGTGAAAGAAAAATGTGAGGAAGATGAGTAGGAGGGGTGATGAGGAAATTAAGAAGAAAAGAGAGGAAGCAGGTGGATGAGTGAGCGACTTCTTCTCTCGCTTGTTGTTTCACCTTTAAACACACTATCTATTGTTGAGCGGCGTTTCCTTTCTATTGCCCACACGAGTCGGTGCATCTTTCTGGCCGATGTTTCCGTCCGTCCTGCTGCGATCCGAGCCGAGTCCCCCGACAGAGTTTTAATTCCCTCACGCGGAGTTCCTGTCACGACCGCGGAGAAGGAGCGAGATGGAGCAAGGAGAGAGCGTTGGGTGGGGGGGGGGAGGCGAACACTTCATGACGGCAAAGAGGTGGTGAAATGGACGACTGCAGTTGCCATAGAAACCCTGCTAGCCACACGGCGCTGCCGTTCCGAATGTCTGCTGGCCAATTTTAGACCGGTCGTCTCAATGAAGATTTCAGTAGGCAGCCGCTTTTCTGGCACACTGTGCATACAATAAATTATGCATATCATATTCAAGGGGGGAAGAAGAAATTTATTTAACAGCCAGGCGCCACTGAAACAGTCCACTCAGCAGTCAAATAAAAGCCTCGGCATTGCAGAGATTTGAGGCTTATCGTTCAGGAAAAAAAGCCATTTGTTATTTAGAGCTAATGAAATATGAATTGCTTTTCTCCATTTTGTTTTCATTATTCCCCTCCTCTGATAATCCTCGGTGGTTTATTTTATTTGCTTTGATTTGTGTTTCCTCTGCAGCAAACAGCCGACAGACTGCAGACAGTCTATTAGTCTCAACTCATCGTGCTCGATGCCCTTTTAACTCTTACCCAAAAATAGGTGCATGTTTGTCTGCTCCTAGGTTGAGACAGATCACTGCCTCGCTCTCACTTCAGTCTGCTCATTCTCAGCGTATTCAGTTACGTGTGGAGACCCACAAACACACATGCATCAACTCACACAAGCTCACGCGTATTCTCCTGCCTTACTCCGGTGCTAAGCAGTGATCCATGGTAACTGGATGAGATGCATTGCCCAGAGCACAGCTGAGTCTCCTCAGGGGAACCCTGTGTCCTCTCTTAATGCACAACGCGCTCTTTCAGCTCTGCAAACGCACACTTGGCCGTTTCACGCTGCCACTTCCATTCTGATCGACTTCTCATATTTGTTTAATTAAGTTTGCTTGTCAGCATTTCTCTCTACCTCTCTACCTGCGAGTTTGTGTTTGCCTGCGTGCCTCTGTGATTGATGTAGACATGCTTGACATTTTCTGCAGCAGAATCTGTTTGGGTCAGTTTACTTCTCACCTTCTCTCTCCACCCCACCGTCATTACCTCCTATAGGTCACTGTAAGCAGATTCAGTCACACCTCACAAGCCCAAAGCGCTCTGAGAAGGAAAGGGACTTCTGTGTGTGTGTGTGTGTGTGTGTGTGTGTGTGTGTGTGTGTGTGTGTGTGTGTGTGTGTGTGTGTGTGTGTGTGTGTGTGTATGTGTGTGTGGGACGGGGTGGGGGTGTCGTGTTCAAGGTTGGAGGGGCGGCTGTAAAGTGTAGAGCAAGGGGACGCTGTCAGTCTGTCAAATGTGTGCAGTCAAGTATGTGAAGATATGAGGTTGTAGATGGACAGGGAGAGAGACATCATGCAAAGACATCATGGCTTCTTTCATTTTGCTGCACATCAGCACCTTGGAGAGCACTCTGTTGCTCCTCTGTGAGTGTAGTGCCACCTTGAGGCCTGCTGAAGAAATGCGCTTCTGGTGGAAAGCTAATTAAAATGGCATTTTCTTATGAAAGTATTTGTACCACTGGAGCGTTTTTATATTTTTCTACTTTTAGAACTACAAACATCTTATCAGGACTTTTGTGCTTGATCAACACAAAGTAGTGGATAATTATTAAGCGGAAGAGAAATTGCAAACTTTTCAGAGTTTCTTTACTCTCATACCCCAAAATAAAATTCACCATACTCAGATGCCTTTAGAAGTTACATTAATTGCAAATAAAGTCCATCTTTGTGTAATTTAATCTCAGTATAAATCCTGCCAGCTGTTCTGTGAAGGTTTCAGTGGTTTGTTAAAAAACATTTGAGAAAAAACAGCTTCATGAAAACCAGGAAACCAACAGACAAGTCAGGGATAAGGATGTTATGATCTTAAGGCATTTGACATTTCACTGGTCACTGTTCAACCTTTCATCTACGAAATGTAAATAGTATGACACAACTGCAAACATCTGGAAGACGGTGCTCTATTTGGATGAGACCAAAATGTCGTACTTTTACCTGCAAGCAAAAGGCTATGTTTAAAGTAAAGCGAAAACTGCTTATCTCTGTAAACACACCATCCCCAGAGTGAAATATGGTCACAGCATCATGCTGTGGAGAGGCTTTTCTTTACTAGGGACATGAAGCCAGCTGGGCTTGATGGGAAACTTAAGGAAGCTTAGTACAGACTCACAGCTTCCATTTTAGGCCTGTATTAGAATAGACCAAAGTCCAGATTTCACCTGAGCAGTATCAAAAGTTGAGAAAGAGGATTTTAATCCACCCTTACTTTGCTTGAACTATTTTACAAACAAATGGACAAAATGTTCAATTTCTATTTGTATAAAGAAAGTCGAGGAATACCAAAATAATACCCAATACTACAAAGTATTAACCCAGGGAGGTTGAATACAAATACGATACAAAATAGATGCTTTGAAATTAGAAACTACTTTGTATTTATCCATCATAAAATCACATTAAACTGTCATTAGGTTTGTAGTGGTGAGAATGTGGAAGGGTGCAAGTCCCTGTAGAGTGTGTGAAGGGTTTGGGGGCAGTGAAAGCAGGTATGAGTGTGCAGTGTGTGTGTGTTTGTGTGGGTTGTAGATGGTCATGGCGATGTCGTTTATCCACAGATGGATTGTCTTAGCATGGGCCTGTTGTGACTCAGCCTCCATCTTAGGCACCCAAAGCATTCCCTTATGTTAATCTTTCAGTCTATGTGTCTCATCACCTGTCTCTCTGCTGTGTCTTAAAGGAGACATGTCTGTCTGTCTGTCTGTATGAGATGGCACAGAAGTGTTTCTCTCCCCAGGATATGTATGATTCCTTACCCCTCTGCTCCTGGCTTCCATTTCCTCAAACTTCTGTCCTCATTTTTTTTATTCAACCTGCCTGGCTTTCTGCTTTCTCTCCTTCTGGTTTACTTCTCCTGTCTCTACAACTCTTTTTCTCTCCACCTCTTTGTGCATTTGGTTAATGGTGCTCTGGGCTATGTGTAGGTAAAGGCCCAGAGACAATCTTTGCTGGGTCGGGCCTCAATGATAATGAATGGCACACGGTGAGGGTAGTCCGACGCGGCAAGAGCCTCAAACTCACCGTGGACGACCTGCAGACTGTTGAAGGTAACCACTGCAGGATTGTAATGTGCAAAGGTTTTTCTTGATATTGTACTTTCAAGGAGATGAATTGTTTTGCATTCTTTCAGAGTCTTAATATTACTTTGTGATTTCTGAAGGTCTTTCAGCTTTTTTCTTTGGACAATGGCTGCTTCGTCATTAATTTCAGTTTCAGTCCAGTAAGTCGCCATTTCCAGAGGAATGCATGGTCATTAATTCTGACTTTTGAATCACTCAGGCATAAAATCTCTCACAAAATGGTGGGAAATGGATAAGAATAGGACCAAACTTGTAAGATCTCATAGGTACAAGATGACTGGAACCAAAAGTAGATAAAGACTAAATCAAAACTGGAGCTGCAAACATTTAACCAGTCCTCCCAACTACGAAATGCTGACATTCAAATATAAATACTGCCTTCGATGTGTGAAGCACAGGCCGGGGAAACAGACAGCCTGACAAAAGTAGACCATATATACACACAGTCAGGCTGACGAGACACAGGTACAAACAGTGACGACAATGATAAGGAAGATAAGCAGTGAAAATTCAACTTAGACTATTTCCAAATAAAGCAGGAAGCAACGTTTCTCAAAAATAGCACAATGCAACTAAAGCTGCTGAGGTCAAAGCCGTGGTGAAATCTGGGAGCAAAAACAGCAGCATGACAGAAATGTATCTTGAGTTATGTCTACATTTTGAATCTCAAAATCAAGTCCTGGAAGGCTAGCACTCTGAAACTTCTGGATGTGTTTCTGCTTTAACACTGCTGATTTAAATAATTAGGTTATTAAAAGGAGGTGCATGATCACATGCTGAGAAAGTAAAGGCTTTGGACCAGAAATGCATCCAAAAATTGCCAACAACACCTGCCTCTCGAGGACTTAAATTGTCATTTCTGGCAGTTTCAGACTATCACTTTTAGACATAAAAGCTTAGCTAAATATAAGCTTGACAGAATATTGTATGTAAGCACTAAAGAGGTAATTTTCTAATATTTGATGTTAAACTGATCTTGGAGATACTTTTTTAAAGACAACAGATTTGCATATGCTGTGAATAAGCAGGGGCCAGTATTGTAACATAACATACTGAGATTTTAAGAAGTTACATTTCAAAACCAATAAAGCACAATGGAAAAAGAGGCAGTATTTATCTTGATAAACACTTCTTTCTTTAATTAATATATAAACACAATAAAGAGATGTTAATGCAGCAAAATAATCCTTATTTATTTGAGATGCTATTTTTGCTTAAAATAAAAAAATATAGAAAATCAGCCAAAGTCCAAAGAAGAAACTTTAAAGGTCTTCAAAATGAACAACATATTGCGAATCCCTTTAAAGCAGGGGTGTCCAAAGTGTGGCCCAGACGCCATAGGTGGCTCTTAAAATTATTTTTATTGGTCCCCAACCACAAGTTAATAGTTATAAAAATATGGCCAACAAAATAGAAAATAATTAATGACCCCAACATCTGCAAAGTCAGTTTATCTTTTAGTAAGCCCACAGTCTGAACAAAGTTTTTTTTTTTATGTTATGCATCTAAGGATTTATAGATTTCATAAAAATCTTGTTTATTATCTAGCAGGTAAAACAAAATCAAAAAAATAAATTTTTGCATTTTTAATTTAATACATTTTGTGGCCCAAGAGAAGCTTAAATTTGCCAGTTTTGATCCCAGGGCCAAAACATTTGGACATCTCTGCTTTAAAGGATTTCAGGAAGGTTTTATTTCTTTTGAACAAAATATAAAGATATAAATTAATTGTACCAACAGTGATTGGTTGCAAGTATTGGTTCATGGGGGACATATTTAACTGTTAATGAAACACTAAGTACAGAATCTGTTGTGTTGGAAAAAGTATTTGCCTTAGAGTAAATCCCAAGCCCTCACCTCTGAAGTTTACCCCCCACCACCACCACCAGGTCAAATGGCGGGTGACCACACCCAGCTCGAGTTCCACAACGTGGAGACGGGCATCGTGACGGAGAAGCGCTTCATGCCCATCGTGCCCTCAAACTTCATCGGCCACCTCCAGGGCCTGACGCTGAACGGCATGCCCTACATCGACCTGTGCAAGAACGGCGACATTGACTACTGTGAGCTGAACGCCGTCATCGGCTACAAGAGCATCGTGGCTGACCCCATCACCTTCCGCTCCCGGTCCAGCTTCGTCACGCTGCCCACGCTGCAGGCCTACTACTCCATGCACCTCTTCATGCAGTTCAAGACAACGTCCCCAGACGGTCTTATTCTCTTCAACAGGGGAGACGGCAATGACTTCATAGTCATTGAGTTGGTTAAAGGGTGAGCTGAATAATAAAACTGTGGGTGATAATATGGAGTATCGTCTTGTTTCTGTGAGGTATTAATCTATACAACGTAGTTGAAACTAAATATTTATATACAGTGAATAAAAAAACACATCTTCTTTTCTCACTTTTTAACATTATACCAGGTGATTTTTTTTTTCCTGGTTTGCATCAGTTAGGATGTAGGCATTTGGATCACATACATGTCCTTAAAGTTATAGAAGGGATTTTAAACTGGGGTCAAAAGTTTTACTAGTCTCCCACAATAGTTTTCTGGAGTTCTGGCCCATTCCTCCTGACAGAACTGGTCATGTTTGTCCTCACAGCTTTCCATCGCTCCCTTTAAAATTTCTATAGAACTAAGATCAGGGAAGCATGACAGCTACTTTAAAACATTAACTTTATTGTTCTTAAGCCACTTCATCCACTTAAAGAAGCCATTTGTGCTCAAGTCTCAACATTCTGGTTGTTTTCAAATGTTGCCTCAATATTGTAACATAAAGCCATCTATTTTGTGAAGTGCACCAGTCCATCTTGCTGAAATACACTCCTAAATGTTTATTCTGTATTTCACAGGATGTTCTCAGACTAGCAGACTTCCCTCTTTCCCTCCAAATGTAAAAATAGTCATTTTGGCCAAACAGTCCGGCTTTAATCTGGCTTTTTTTGTGTTTCTTTTGGAGTAATGTCTTCCTCCTTGCCTAGTGGCCTTTCAGCCCATGAAAGTAGAGGGCATGGCACACTGTGGAAAAATTACCCTCATCTTGTCAGCTTCAGCAGCTTCTCCACAAGGTCTTTGGCTTTTATTCTGGGATGGAGTTGCACATTTCAGACTGAAACATGTTCATCTCTGGCACGCAGAACCCGTCTCCTTCCTCAGCGGTGTGATAGTTGGACATTCCCAACATGTCTATGCTTGCGTATAAATATTTAAAATTTATTCTCATGCTGCTTTTAATGATTTCTTTTTCCCTGAGCAGCATTTCAGCCTTTCTATGAATGTAATTCTCTTACTTGCTTCAACCATCAGCTTTACAAAGTCTTACTTTTGTTCAAGTGTTTAAAACCGCCATTTTGCGCTAAAACTCATTTATCTCTGGGACACAGGATCAATCTCCTCGCTGGGCGTTGTGGTGGCTGGACATTTAGGCGTTTGAACAGATGAAAGTGGCAATAGCAGGCTGAACCAGACTTGTGGAAGTCCATAGATCTCTTCCTGGTCTTGGTTTTACTTTCTTTATTGTGCTTGTTGTGTTACATGACATTACATCCAAATGTGTGTCTCAACTACTGTGAATACATTAGCTTACCAAGTCTTTTTATCTGCTGGTTTAAAAGCCACGTCTATGTAAAATCTGACTTTTTAAAAAGTAAGAAAATATTTAAAGACATTCTCTATCAATATTGTGGCACCTAGAAAATCTAAATAATTTGGTCATCTAACTGAGCTAAAAAAGGGAAGTTTGGCTTGAGAAACAAGTGGTTGTGTCTTTTTATAAAGACGATGAAAATCTCTGGTTTCTATTGTAAATGAAAGCATTTTTTTTTTTTTTTTTACATTTAAAGCGAGTTTGCCCTTGATAAAGAGAAAAGAAGTTGACAGTGAGGTTAAAATGGCCTGTTAAATGTACAATATAAAAATGCACCAACCCAGCACCTCTTTTTTAAGTCTTGTAATTAAGCTTGTACAAGACAGTTAATAATGCCCCGAAGTGTGTGACCCTGTGTTGTTCTTCATCACAAAAGTGATTAATTTGCTTTCTCTCTCCTCCGCGCTCTGCTTAACCCCTTCCTTTCTCCATTTGTTCCCCAGCTACCTTCATTACATCTCTGACCTGGGAAACGGAGCGCACTTGATCAAGGGCAACTCCAACAGTCCACTTAATGACAACCACTGGCACAATGTGCACATTTCCCGGGACACAAACAATCTGCACACGGTCAAGATTGACACCAAAGTTACCACTCAGACCACAATGGGAGCCAAGAACCTTGACCTAAAAGGTATGACAAAAAGAAAAAATAGAATATCAAGGTTAAGGTTGATGGAGCTTGTTACCTTGAATTATTAGGCTGATATTTCACAGAACAGTGTTTTAGCATTTAGTGATTAAACGCTCATTAGTCCTAGAATGATTGGAAGGTTAAAGGAGAAATTTGGGCTTTGAGGAATAGACAGAATAAGAGTCTGCCTACCAGTCTTAAGTCAGCTAATTAACACCTTGCCTCTCTTTAATTAGTTCAAAAACAAAGACTGAAACCAATTTAGTTATTTCTTTTACAGAGTTAAGTGGCAGACTATTCCCAACCAATCAGCTAAGAGAGTTTTTGTTCTTGCCGTTGGATAGAGTTAAGCTTCCTCTATCTGTTATATTCCAGTCTTCGTGCTAAACTAAGTTAAGTGTCTCTAGGCACAAGCTGCGTATTATCATACAGACATGAGAGCAGTATCTTTTTTTCCAGAGTTGCATTCATTAAAAAAGCAATTAGCCATACTTCCCGCTGGAACATTTTTGGGGTAAAAGCATGTATAATCGATTGTTTTTAAATTATTAAATCAAACTGATAGCTATTCACTGTCAATTTATGGTTCCTGTCACATAACTGCTAACTGCAGCATGGACTGGTGTGAGAGTCTGAGAGGATGCTAACCTTAAGAAATACCAAGATTTAATTGTGGTTAAAATGTTTATATCATGTCAGAAAAGTTAACAATATTGTTCAATTATTGTTACCTACTGTTCTTATGCTGCTAATATCAAATGATACTGGTTTCACCGTCAGCAAAAGTCACTATGCCATTTGAGGAATTCTGGGTGGAATATATTTACAAACAAAAGGGGGAGGGGTTTATTCTTAAATGCAAAATGTATATTTTTTTTTACATTTTGGTTTAAGTACTGCTCTGAATAAATTGTTCTTTCATTAAATGGCCTTTGTTGAGTCTATATTCTCCAGTTATCAATTAGTAAATTGCTAAATTATTTGCCGGTGATTATTTCAAAAACTGATTCATCACGATTAATCAGAATAATCGTTTCTGCCCAATTCACAGTAACCTGCATATTTTAAACCTGAATCCCAATAAATCGATTACACAAGATTTGTGTAGAGAGTCCATCATAAGTGATTCAAACATTTTCTTTGCATTGCTGCCCATGCGTTGTGTTTCTGTTGCCATCTAAAGACTTTGGGTTGAGGAATCTTCTCATAAATCTTTCATAGACTAATTAATAATAGATCAAGTAGCTTATGCTGCATCCTTTCATGCTTCTCCACAGGTGATCTGTACATCGGGGGCGTTACCAAAGAGATGTACCGTGAGCTGCCGAAGTTGGTTCATTCCCGGGAGGGATTTCAAGGCTGCCTGGCAACATTAGATCTAAATGGCCGCCTTCCGGACCTCCTTGCTGATGCCTTGACCACCATGGGGCAAGTGGAGAGAGGTTGTGAAGGTGAGGCTCCATGGCATCAGTTGTGTTGCAGCCCTCCATGTCCCTTCCTCTTTTGCTTTCAATTTTCATTTAACTCACTGCTGTTACGATAACCCACTAACACAGCTTCCGTTCCACTAGCTGTAATTTTTACTCTCTGTCTCCTCAGCCGGTCTTCCATTTTGTTTTTTCTGCACATTGAGTTTTCTCTCTCAGCTCCACTCTTGCAGCAGCTCACAGGCATCTGTGTGCATTGACTAACCATCTAACTTGCTTGTTTGCTTTTTTGTTTGGCCGACAAAAGTTACATTGATGAAAGCTGACCTGCAAGGTATATCGCTTTGTGTGAGCATGTGGGACGTGTGAGTGTGAGCGACTGAGTGTGCTTAAAACTACCCAGTGATGTTTAGTGTTTGTGTGGATCACAGCGATCCAGAGTCAAAGGTCAGAGTTGATTTTTCCTCTCCTAACTGTTAGAAACGTTACATCCGCTTGACTTGAGTTCCCCACTATTCCAGTTTTCTGGCTTATTAACTGCATGCTTTGTACCCTTTTCCTAAAGACTCGTAGCTACAATTCAATACTCCACTGATGAATCATTTCACAGTCTTTCCTCCATGCCTCATGTTAGAACTTCAACGAGGGAATTAAGTTTCAAGGTTTGATGTTTTCTTCCTCATGAGGCACAGAGAGGAAACTGACAGAATGATGAAGACTGAGTATTGGGACCTATGCCTTTATAGCTAAACTCCTCCTCCAGCCTCTGACCCAAACATCAAGTCTCACCACATGCATGTCCTCCTCATTTCAGTCTTTTCACTTGGTAACAATCCAATTTAGGTCCAGTTCTAATTATATTGTCTTATAGCATCCTTCTATTAGTGAGTCTATCTACAACATTCTTGTAGGCATTTGCAGTGCTGGCCATGTTTATTGATATCCCTGCTAAAAATGTGCAGAAAAAAACTTAACAAAAATTAAATTTTATTGCAGTAACTTAATATCACACTGAAAAAATTTGAAAACAAAAATCAACCTTTAATGTGATTGTTTTTATTTATTTATCATAAAAATATTAAATAAATTATTTAAATTATTATTATTAGGGTAACCCTACCACTTATTGGTAACACTACCGGTCATACTGTGTACATTTTTACTTAGAACATCTTGGTATTTCAACAGGTCCATGAAGTAAAGTTTCTTCAAAGATCCTTCAGATAAACTAACAGTTATGACATATGAGCTGCTTTTCTTTGTTTCAAGCCCATCTGGAGTGTTTATTGGGTCCAGTTTATGTCCCTGGCAGGCTCCACATTTCTAATCGAGAACCAATTAGAAATGGTTCTCCCTTGGCATCTGATTCAGATTTTGCATGGAACGTTAGTAAACACTGTGTATTTTCAGTCTTTTTTATACAGACATATTGTGGTTTTTCTTTTACTTCATTACCATTTTGTCTGTAAAAACTATTCAGTCAACTTTGGTTATTGCTATATAAATATCCATATTGAATTTAAACATTTATCAAATTGAAGGTTGCATTTTTCTTACATTTTCAGTTTGATAGTCGTATTCAGATGCAATAAAAGATCAATTTATTGTTCGGCTTTTTACACATCTTTCCCAGGGGTACTGATAAATATGCCCAGCACTGTATATGATTAATTATGCCATTACAGCACAACAGTTTGCAGCTTTCAGTCTGTAAAGTTTTTCAATTAAATGTGGCCCAAAAATAACAACACATCCCTGTCATTCACAACAATGGGCTGCAGTATAAACCACAACAAAGTGTTTTTATGATTCTTTTCAACCAATTTTTTTGCCACTGCCATGTCTGTCACTGCAGGTCCCAGCACAACATGTCAAGAAGACTCCTGCTCAAATCAAGGAGTCTGTTTGCAGCAGTGGGAGGGCTTCACCTGTGACTGCAGCATGACATCATACGCCGGGCCGCTCTGCAATGATGGTGACGATTCTCATATATTCTGTCCTACAAATAAATCATGCAGCCTGTTAAGGCTGTAAAATCTATTTTTTTCTTAAATATTTGCTCTATCTTGCAGATAAAATGTAAGATTTTTATTTAATATTTAGGTATTTGACGTTTCTCTGCCTTTTTTTAAACAGATCCTTTTGCAAATTTTGCCAGATAAATGTTTACCTACTTTTTATAAACTGTATAATGGGGTTTGGGTATGCATTAATCAGAGCCACCACAGGAGGGCGCTGTCAACTACTTCTAAAATGAAATAATAACTCCAGCCTCTTAAGTTGAATTCCTAAAAGTGCTGTGTTTCAAACAACAAAATCGCTGCATTAAACTCTTTGAACAGCAGAGAAGGAGTGTCCAAAGTCAGTCCTGGAGATCCGGCGTCCTGGTTTAACGCACCTGGATCAAATGATGGCTCATCAGAAGAACATTGACATGCTGAAGAGGTTGTTACTACTGCCAGGGAGAGAACTAAAACATGCTGGATGTTGGCCCTCGAGGACCGACTTTCGGTGCCCCTGCAGCATAAGTGACACACACAATAGTTTTGTTGCTGCCCTCTGAGTCAAACAAATGCATGAGTTGGTATTTGCATGAGTCATCCCAGCCTCCTGGAGTAATGCTGAATAATTTGGGAAACACAGATTTTAGATCTTATTCAAGCCTGTAGGAGGAATAGTTAAGCTGTGACATTTAAAACTTCTATTACATTTGTAATTTACCAAATGCTCGTTATTTGTAAAACATTTAGCACCATATGAGTGGTGGTACCATCCGCTATGAGGACTGTGATTTATAAACATGTTGGTTTTTCTCTGTGCTGTCTAGCTGGGACCACCTATATCTTTGGCCGGGACGGCGGTGTGGTGATTTACACGTGGCCGCCTAATGAGCGTCCTAGCACCAGGGCGGACCGACTGGCTCTTGGCTTCAGCACCCAGCAGAAACAGGCCGTTCTACTCCGAGTGGACAGTTCATCTGGCCTTGGAGACTACCTTCAGCTGCAGATAGTAAGTCTACGCAGTCACTTTTAAGCATCATTTAGGCGTGTTTCTTCTACATGCAAAGAAAAAAATTTTAAAGTTTTATTTATTTAATTAATTCAATTCAAGAAGTGGAGCTTGTTTATTTATATAGGGCTAATTCACAATAGGCTTTCTCAAAGCACTATATATATCTATATATACATATTTGTTGTCAAGTCTAAACAATCATGCAAACATAATTTAAAGTCAAATACATCCATTCCAAATTTGGTCCTATTTATAAAACAGTGCTGTGAAGCTCAATTTATTAAACCACTAGGTAAATATCTTATTGCTAAGGAAACCCAGACGATTGCATCAATTTTGCTGCATTTCTCCTCCTGAAGGAGCATATAGCAACAGCGTATGGTTGATTTCATTGAGTCGTTAACTTTGCATCAACCCTTCATAGATTAGATGGAGCCTGCATGTAGCAAAATAGGAAAGGAGAACTGAAGGTTCTAATGATTATTTTAGTAATCAATTATTCTATCGATGAGTCAAAGAAATAAGAAATTGGATTTTTCTTTTAAAAATAGTCACATTCTGCAGATTTTTCTTCTAACATGTAAGATTTTTATAGATTAGAAATTCATTAAAAGATTAGAATAAAATATTTAATAATATTTTTTAAATATTATTAAATATTATTTATTACCTAAAATACAATGTATGTAAAGAATAAAGCTTAAAAAAAAACTACCATCAAAATGTGGAAAGTTCATGTCTTTATTCTTGATTTGACATAAATTCAACATAGAGATAATATGTTGACTTGTTTAGTTTTTTGGAATAATTGATTAATAATTAAATATTAAATATATAATTAAATATAATATAGAAAGGTGCTTAAGAGGGGATTTCTTTTTACACAATCTGAACCTCCTTTTTGAGGTGTTCTGTACAGCATACATTTACAAAGATTTATTTTATTTATTTTTTTACTTTAAATGCAAAATGTTTTGTAAAAAAAATTGCTAAACTTCTGCTCTGAGTTTTTTTGTTCTTTCAGCAAATGTTTTTGTTTTGTTTTTTGTCTCAGACAATTATTTGACTAAATCGATTAATCTGATTAATTGTTTCAGCCCTTGACAGCACAGACATACAAAAAAAAAAAACTCAGCATCACTGGTCCAGAAGGCCCTACTATGTTAAAGAAACTGTATAGGGTTAATGGGAGCAGCAGATCCTTGAATTCATTTAGGAAAGAAGCACAGCTAAAGAAACATATAAGCTTTTTAAGCCAGTTGTAAACAGTAGTACATCCGGTCAGATGTAGAATCTTCAGTAGCTTCATCTAGACGAGAGAAAGTGATATTAACCTTTCTTTACATTTCTCTCAAGGTTGAGGTAATTCCTGTTGCTTACGCACCTTTTCACGCTCCAGTTATTTCTTTCTCTCATTAAGCAGCAGTGTGAATAGTCAGCTGTTTAAGGTCATCTTTTTTTTAAGACTTCCAATAGTGGTTAATCTAAACAAGTTTGGAGTTTCACTTCTTGAACTGAATCACAATGCTGACTCGGAATTGAAACTGTATTGCTCTCGCCTAAATAAACACACACAGCAGATCTATCATTACTAAAAATTGGTAAAGCTTGTCATTATAAAAGAAATCCACCAAAATGATCTCAATCTGCTTTGCGTGCAGCTGCCCCAGGTTTCTGATGTAAATGGTTCATTAATTGCATTAATTCTTTCAGATGTAATCTTAATGCTTTATGGTTTATCCTACTTATTTGCTAATGAGGGGGGAAACATGAACAAACAGAGCAGCTGCGGCTGTTCAGCCATGTTTCTGCATTTGAGTTATTTGACAGCCTCATTAATCAACCATGTTTCAGAGAATCTTCACAAATCTGTATGTTAGCAGTAATAAGGAGCGGACTGGCTTTATGGCCAATTACTGCAAATGTTATGCAAAAATGTGCAGAGCTAATTCTTTCTAAGAATCATCAAACGGTCATATGAAATTATAAATAATATTTATTGCAATAGAAACCTGGTGAAAAAGGCAAATACTAATGCGTTTTCAATGTTTTTAGATTATTCGCTGATCCTTTAAAAAAGATTAAGGAAGTTAATAACAAATTGACCGTGGATGGAAAGCTCCAGAGTGTTTTAAAGAACCTCAAGTTGCATTTAACTTTTGAATTTTGAAGATTATTGTATTATTGAGTCTCACCTATTTTCAGAAAATATTTGGAGGTTAATTATGTCCCTTTTAGCTGCTGGATAAACAGTGAGGCTTGAATTTATACACTAAGGCAGTATGAAACACTGCATTCATTACAATAATAATACAATAGTAATATAATAGATTCTAGGCTTACAATCTAATTATAAACATTAGTACCTGGTGCTTAACCACGGTGGTCTATATGTCTGTCTGTCCTTCCTTCCATTCATCCATTTATTTGTCCATCATAGCTCAATTTGTCCTTCCTTCCTTCATAATAAATGTTTTCTGTTTCTACTCAGAAGGACAGAGAATCCTTGACTTCTATCAATGAAAGAAGCATTTTCTCAGTGTATTTTCTCCTCCTCAAGCGAGTTCTTGACTAACAGACATCATCAATACTCCTCTGCTCCTCAGGACAAGGGCAACATCAGGGTGGTGTTCAATGTCGGCACAGACGACATCAACATTGAGGAGAGCTCCAAGTTCGTCAATGACGGGAAGTACCACGTAGTCCGGTTCACCAGAAGCGGTGGCAACGCGACCCTGCAGCTGGACGACCTGCCGGTCATGGAGCGGTATCCTTCAGGTAGGCCCTGCCCCACCAGTACAACCCAGTCCCGACTCCGCCTGTCCTGAGGCAGACCCCACCACACCTCAGCCCAAATCAAGCCATCTTTTCCTGACTGAAGAATGATAAACTTTTGTTTCTTTCTGTTTATTTCCACAAACTAAGATTGAGGAATTTGTTTTACTGTTATTGTGTTTGAAATGAAATGAAATATGTTTGATCTGACATGAAATATGACTTTTTAAACCATAAAATGAGATCAGCCATTACAGTAGCTTGTTTACTCGTCAGTTGTGTTATTTTAGGCCTGTTAAATAGAGTTAAAGGTAATTTATGTAAATAGTAAATTCAGCTGTTAGTGTGTTTTCTCACCATAAAAGAAAATAATAACAGTTGGTGCATTTTTGGATAAATAATAATTTTAAAACTTGGCATATTTTGAGATAAATGTTTAACTAGAGAGAAAAAAATAAGGCAAAAGAAAAAGTGTATTTTGTTGAATATATCTGTTTGTTTTTACATTTAAAAGGGGTAGTCGTCATAGGTAACATAATGAGACTTCAGATAGGTAAAATGATAAAAGGTAGTTGTTGTGAGGTGTGTGTGTATGTAATCTAAACTCAGTCAGTATGTGGCAGCTGTAACATTATTTCCCTGTGCTCTTGCAGATGTTAACCCCTGAAATGTTTTTTTTAAATTAAACCCAATGAACAGAGAGTAAGAGTCCGCTCACTGGAAACATAATGAGTGCGTCTTCTCTTCTGTTAGCAAAAAAGATAACAAAACATAAACACAGTGACATGCCGACAATGAGCAGACCATTACTTTCTTTTCATTGCTGTTCTTTGTGTATCCAGCTCCTGTACCACGTATGGATGTGCGTAATTACTACTGTGTTTTCATCTCTAAATTAAAGGCAACAATGATAACGAGCGCCTGGCCATCGCCAGACAGCGAATCCCCTATCGGCTCGGTCGAGTAGTTGACGATTGGCTACTCGACAAAGGTAAAAACCCTGATTAAAATTCCTTAAAACTTTGAGCTTAAAAATACAACATGAAGGCAGTTGATTATACTATATTGTGCACCATCAACTAACATCTAAAAATCTAAATCCATAACTAAGTAATTAAAAGTTGGGCAGGTTGTAGTGTGTAATACTGTGTAAACTCTAGTGCCTGTGAACGTATCTTGTTAGTGTGTATCTGATAATATCAGGTTAAAGGGACGATGGAGAGATTTAAATGTGAATAAATCGGAAAATAGAAAAAGTACTGATAAAAGATGCTTTATTAAGACTGGTAAATAATTTTACTATCAAGTTGTAAACAATAAAGCATTTATTAAAGATTTAATGTATTGAAAAAAAATTGTAATCAAGTTAAAGTACATGCAAATTATTGTTTAAGAATTATGTAAATTTGAAATGACTAAAAGAGCAATGCTTTTTGAAAAAATATGTAAAAGTTTTCCAACTAAACTTCAGCAAAGCTACTTAAATTAGCCTCTAGTCCCTTTAACAGTGAGCAGTGCTAGAGCTTATAACCTGTGCATGCTTTATAGGGCTGTGACAACTGTTCTCTAGATCTCTGTCTCTCTGTCTGCCTGTCTGTTGCTCCTTCAGATACGATGTTGTGCTGCACAGCCATCACCGCATCAACCATCTCTCAGCCCTGTCTTCTCGGGGCCTCCTGATTCCTCTTCTTCTCCTTTTTTCGCTCTCCTTCATCTGCTTTGCTCAGACTCCTCTGACTCTTTCCCTCCTTTTCTCTATTTTCTGTCATCACTCTTATCTCTCAGTCTCCTCCACGGTTCTCCACAGCTTCGATTTGCTCTGCCATGCTTAATCTATCCCATCCTCTCGCCATGCCTCGGGGGGGGAAGATTGTGTAACACTCAAACACTGTTGTATGTCTGTGCGCGTGTGTGTGGCGTGTATGCACGTATGTGACCACTGGCGTGTGTGTGTGTGTTTGTCTGTCCACTTTTCTTTTTTTTTTTTTTTTTTTGGTGCGTTGTGGTGTGTTGGGTGCGATTGGCTGTGTTCGTGCAGGTCGCCAGCTGACCATCTTCAACAGCCAGACGACGATTAGTGTCGGCGGAGGCGAGCAAAGTTCTCCAATGTTCCAGGGCCAGCTGTCCGGTATTTATTACAACGGCCTCCGCATCCTGAACATGGCCGCCGAGGGCCACCCGCACATCAGAGTGGAGGGCAGCGCGCGGCTGGTCGGCGACATGCCGTCCTCCTCCATCACGCCGCAGTCCAGTGCCGCAGCCGGCGGCAACCGGTCAGACTCCGCCCCCTCGATCAGTGACATCACAACCACCACGGCGACGAATAAGAAGCAAATTGTGACACAGGTGAGCACAATGTCCCAGTTTTGGTTTTTGTCCGTCAACGTCTGAAAGGGTTCGTACACAGTCTGGCAAAGTGTGGAAACGGATTTTGTTTATTTCCAAGTGGAAAAGTGCAAAGCATATTAACTTTGCAATTTGGACAATTCGGCTGAAAAATTTATCACAAAAAAACGGTTTTATATCAGTTGTTATCAATAACACTGGGTTACAAATAAATATTTTTTGGGAATTGTTCAACTGAATTAAGACTATTTTGTGCCTCTGAATCCAAAAATGGTAACCCTTTTTTTTCAAATCGGGTCAAGTTTTTAATCAAAATTGATGTAGAAAAATCTGATCTTCTGACTAAATTGATGGCATTTCTGTGACATTATCAGTTAGTTTCCATTAATAGTAGTTCTTGGGTGGGCTGACATCACTTTGAACTATGAAAACTTAAGGAGTGCAAAATCCCAATTTTTCCAAAAATGTAATCTTCAAAACCAGAAAATTTGATAAATCGATTTATTCCCCAGTCCTATTAAGTATTTTAATTTCCAGACTGTATTCCCATCTCATTGTCTAAATGTTTCCTTTTCCCACTGTCCATTCTTCTTTCCAATACTTTTTCCTGTCCTTCCTCTCTCATATCCTTCCTTTTTTTCCTTTGTTCCCTTTCTTCTTTCACTCCTTTTACCTTTCCTTCCTTTTATTTCCTCTTCTTGTCCTTCCTTGTTCTCATTGGGCCCTTCCTTCGTCTCGTCTCATGTCCTACCTTCCTCCCTTTTATCTGTGTCCTACAACCCCTGCTTCCTTTCTTTATTTTTGTTCATTTTACTCTTCCTTCTGTCCTTTCCTTCCTTGCAATGGCAACGTTGGTAAATTTTGCGACGACGTTGTGATATTTTCTTCTTTCCTCCCTTTCCCATCTGTACTTCCTTGACCTTTACCATTTTAGGCAGTGTCATTCGCTGTGAGCATCTGTTGTCGTGAGTCTGCGTCTAACTGGCTAAATATTACATTAACATGTAAAATGTGAGTTCATAACACTTGAAATATATTAGCCAACAGTTACTGCTCTCCAATTATTTGTGCTGGGTGACACGTTTAACAAGAAGTGGAGACTCTAATCAAATTCTGCTTTGGGTCTTACCCAATCTTGGGGTGACTCGGTGGTCATAACTCTTGTTCAGATGTAATTCTTCAGGCTTCCACAGCACACGAGTCTTATCAGTACCCAGCCATCATTCTTTAGTATGACAAAAGGTAATTAAAATTGTAATTTGCTTTGATAAGATTCATTATGAGTGCTGTAAGAGGATTAGTATGCACAGCCCATTTATCAAGACCAGCAGAATATCAAGATGTGTCAAAGGAAGTGGGACAGTTTTTTTTTACTCTGCTAATACTAGTTTATTCATGTGTCATATGTTTTCATGTGCTGAGGCAAACTAAAGCGTCCCCCCAAATACATTAATCATGTTAAATATGAAGCACTGACTGAGACATTACACATTATGGATGAAAAATAATGAATGATGATGGTGACTACAAATTATGTTCCATTCAAACTATTTGTTTCAAGCAGTTTAGTCAAAATTATGTTTTAGTCTCTAAATAGAAATATTGCTTATCTGTTTAGAAGTTGTCAAAAATGTGAGAAAATAGTCTACAAGCTGGAAATTCAATTTATATTCAATTCAAAACTACTTTATTTATCCTAAAGGCAAATTCAATGTTGTAACTCATATCATCTGAGTATCTTTAAAGAATGATGCTGTTGGTGGGAACGCTCTGCAGTAGCAGTCCATCTTGCAATAAATCTGAAGAGACCTCTGACCAAAAACTGTATGACATGCTAACAACTTAATTTCTGGCTAAAAGACGATATTCCAAAGTAGCAAATCCTGGATGACACCATCAGCTATTGGCCAGCATTGCTAATCCACCTTGTTTGCTTTTGCTGCTCCTCTTTAGATCTCTGGAAAATTATTTTAATTTTGTAACTTTTTTGAGAGTCATTAGTTTGTTTTTAAGTATGGTCAATAATGTCTTCTAATAAGGCATCATTACCTGGTCAAATTCCCTGTAAACTTTAAACATTTTTGAACATAAAAACCTGTTGGACTTCATCAGGGGAAATCCTGCCATGTTGCCACAAATATGCATCCCAACAACTGTGTAAAAACAAAGAAATAAGAGCACCTCACAGTCATTCCCTCTTCCAGCCGTCATTACATTCAGCGAAACTTTGGAAATTTCAACATTGCATACATGTCAGAAATAATAAATATTTCCAAATATTCTGATAGAAAAACAGGGATAATATAACCACAAAATATGTTTTTGTTTCTTGTTGCATAAAGTGATGTAAAATTTTCTCCTCATCTTTGTTCTGTAATCCTGTCTGAACAAACTTCAAGGTCTGTGAGAGGAAAGGTATTTTGTGTACAGTGGCTCCCTGCATTTCTCTGCAACAACACATTCACCTAAATGGGTCAGACGGTAAATTCTCAGCTAATTGGTTCCTCTGCTGACTCGCGGGGCAATAAATGTTTTTGCTAATGGAGAACGAAATAGCTTTTACAAAATATGTGTTAAGTAATCCAGTGAGATTGAGACAACAGAAGGACATAATAGTTATTGATACTTAATTGTTGCATTTGGAACAGGAGAGTTGGTGTTAAAATCAGAGGAGACAAACTCCACAGCTTCAACTCAGACTTTATTCGCTCTATTGTTCAGATCACTACAATCAAAATGTTGTCAAGCTCTTAGTGGGCGTCTGTGTCTGCTGCAGTTCTTCCTCTAAGTTATAAAACAGCCGCACCGGAAAAAAAATCCTACATGATACCAGTTGCCATGGATATAGTGGGCCCCACTACCCGCAGCTTACTTTCTCTCTTTCTCTCGCATCCAGACTCCCACAGAGAGTTGTTCCTCTGTGTATAAACCACCAGCTGTTTCAGACGTAAATAATGGAGCACTGATAGCTGTGAGCTAAGCCTCAGGCATCAATAATGGATTACGTGAGCTGGATGGATACGGCTGCAGAGTGACGCCGCTGTCACAGGGGCTTCTTTTCACACCTCACCTCTCAGTGTCTCCCTGCGTGTGTGTGTGTGTGTGCGTGTGTGTGTGTGTGTGTGTGTGTGTGTGTGTGTGTGTGTGTGTGTGTGTGTGTGTGTGTGCGTGTGCGTGTGTGTGTGTGTGTGTGTGTGTGTGTGTGTTAGATGAATGGCTCTGGCTTTGTGAAGTCCTGATGTCAAGGTTAAATCTGACATGCAGCTTTTTATGGTGGAATCGAAACCACCTGATGTGAACTAGGCCAAACCTGCTATACGCTCAATATACTGAAGAGAGCTTTTGCGCTTATGAGTCGAGTCAGTCATGTCAACACTTAAATTCTGTTTGCAGTAATTGTTTTCAGTGTGAAATGCTCGCTGAGTTTCACACAAAATTAGAATATTTCATGATGCTCTTAAGAATCATTAATCATGCTGCCACAAAACGTTCTTCACTGTTCACAAAGTAATGTATCCAAAAATATTATGAGAAAGTTGAGTGGAAAGAAAAACTGCGGAAGGAAAAGGTTTGCTAGGAAACAGAAACAACCACAACATTCAAAGGATTGTGAATAAAGAATTATGTGCTCTAAAATATTGCACTCACACCAACAAAAACAGATATCTTCAATTCATATTTTTATAATATTCTCTCAAAAAGCAAAGTTAAAGAAAGGAATGAGCTATTAGTCAAGTTTCAATAATTAGCAGTCAACATTAAACAGAGGAGATAAAATCAAAAGTTATTAGACGCACCGCTATCTGGACATGAACGCTTCTGAATCAGTAATCAAAACTTGGATCATCTTAATGTTCATTTATAACCAAAATTTGATCATTATCATGTCAGTTTGCCACAACCAGAATGACATAATCACAACAAGTGTTTAACTGCACAATGATGTCAAAGCTTATTACAAGTTTTACTTCTCTTCTGCTATAGTTGGTAGAATAGAATAAAATTTAACCTAGTGAAGTCCTGAACCTAATAAAGATAAAAATTATTAAGATTATTAAGCTGGAGAAAGTTGCACACTCGGTCCACAGTGTCCTTTGACCTGTTTCTATTTATTTTTACCACCTGATAAATTTCCAGAAAATCTTTTAGCAAATATAAAATTACAGGTTAAATTTTAAATGTCAGAAATTAACACACATAGTATACAAGCGGAAAATTCAAAAACAAATTATTGGCTCTGGGTGTCACCATCACAATAGAACAGAAGAGAAATATCTCTTATTGTCCCACAGTGGAGAAAGTCAGGTGTACTAGCAAGATGCTAAATATAAATTCAAACAAGTTAACCCTGCACTGTAAAAATAAAAATATAAAATTCTAATTTTATATTTTCAGTTGTGGTCGCCAGAATTTTACCGTATAAATACAGTAAAATCCATATTGACACACGAAAATTTCTAGGTCGCAGACCTGTACCGGATTTATACTGCCGGTATTTTACCATAAATTATAGACTGTTTTATTTTGAGTACACTGTGCTGATGTCAGCTGAAGCATAAAGGCCTCATTCAAGTATTATTTTGTATATTTTTTAGCTGCGCATGTATTCTTTGCTACAAATGCTTAACCATATGTTGAAGGAATGTTATCACATTTTAGGCCATTAAATATTTATTTTTTATTTAGAAAAAAGAATTGTTTTTTGCATCTCTTACATATTTTTAATATTATATAAAATATGCTAAAGTGGTTAAGTGAAAAATGTGACATATTTTTCAGCCAATTAATCAATTAATCATCAGAATAATTAACTACTAAATTAATCGTTAGTTGCAGTCCCGCTGATGTAAAGTCCTTTCAATGTTGAGTTTATAGTCCTCTATTTAGTACAAGAAAGAAAGCAGTTTGAATTTTGAGGCCCACTAAAAAACTCCAACCATATAATGTCCAAGTGGACAGTGTGAACACAGCTTCTGTCTCGTTTGAGACGAGTCTACAGCCTCCCTATTGACGGTGCCTTGTGTTGCCAGGCAACTAACCTGGCCTTAACCACCACACACAAAGAAGTGTAGATAAAAACAGATCGCGAACACACAAACACTCAGGTGGGTATAGAACAATAGGCCTGTATTGCAGCACGTTGCATCACAGATGGGGCAGTGGGAGATGTCTTATTAAAGGCGTTACAACTGCAAATAATTGAGCAATTTACGCTTTGGTTTGCGTATGTGTGGAAGTGCGTCTGCTCGCATCGCCAGCGGGTTTCTCTGCTTTCTGCTTTGTGCAGAAAGAATGTTTTCAGCAGCGTCTCCTGAAGTCCACAGTGAGTTGATTTTTTCGTGTTTGTGTGTGCTGAAAAAGTGGAAGGGATTAATAATGCATGACAGCTGAGAACCAGCGAAGAGATTGTGTGAGTGTTTATGCTAGAGGCGCGCTCTGAGTCACAGACCCCGGTTTGGGTTTGATGCTCGCTGTCTGTGGATGCAAAAGCTTCGGCTCCTGCGTACGTGAGCTCTTGTGTTCAATGCAAAGATTGATAGACGAAACTTGGGGCTCAGAGGGGCGGTCGGATTGGCTAAGAGGAATCAGCTGACGTGTCCACAAGCTCTTTGAATATTTGTTGTACATCCACACCCTCCCTCCTTTTCTTTCTTTTCTTCTTCACTATCTTCACATCTTTGTCTCCATCTTTTCATCTGCCCGCTGTTCAAATCTCCCTGCTCACTTTTTATTCCTTCTCACTTTCCCTATCTCTCTCCCATCCTCCATATCTTTCCATATTTACTCACTACCCCCTCCTCCTCCTCCTCTTCGTGTCCTGTACCCCCCTCCCACCCAGTCTGTGGTTGAGCTCCAGTGATAGGCTGTTAATGCAGGCGTTGTATGAGTCTATCTCACCATCTGCAGTAGTGGAGCTAGCTCCTCTCCTCTCTCTCGTCAGGATCTCTTCATCAGCCCTCCAACTTCATCCTGGTTTGCTGTATGCCTGTGTAGACGAGTCTATATAGAGACAGACTAGTAGAGCATGCTTGGTTGATATAGGAATTGTGTGTGTGTGTGTGTGTGTGAAAGTAGCAGACAAGCTGTTGAATCTTCTGCAGGAGTGTGTGAGGACTTAGAGCAGGTATTATGTGTGAACTAGGCAGTCAGGGAGGCTTGGACGGCCGCTGGCACTGCTCAGCTGCTCAGGTAGAGACATTACTCTTTAAGCATGCTTCCTGTCTGTTTACTACTCCGTGCATTTCTTCCATTATTAACATTTATTTGTCTGTATGTCAGCATGTTCTGTTGTTAGACTTTAAAAAGTTGGTGAGAGACAGAGCATCTGGTAGCTCTTACGAGTCGGCAGGAGGGTGTAAATTGATTTTGTTTTCTTGTGCCCTGCGCAATAGGTGGATTGATACTCCCAATTGACACCTTCCCATTTGAACAAGGCGGTCAGCTGATTTTGTGATGTCACAAACTCAAGGAGGGACCTTGTAAAATTTTACTTGTTCGATTCTGATCCTGCAGGGCACGTTGGTTTCTTCGGATCAATGATAGAGCCCGATCTGCCGGGCATTGATCGGTGGCAGATGTCACGGGTGATGCGGTTCATGTGCTGGTCGCGTCCTGGCAAAGGCACAGAGGTTTTATTGACTGGCTGGATGCCAGCGGCTAATCTCACCCCAGCTGCGTTTGACAGCCCAGTGGGCAGAGCTGATTGGAAACCCAGTGAAGGGAAGAGACAAAGCCAAGCACCAATAACCTAATGCATGTTTCAGGCCAACATAAACCACAGAAGACTTGTTTGGACCACCGTCGTACCTTACAAGGCCTGGGCAGACTTTATTGGACAGCAAAGTAATAAATTCTTGTCTTCTGCTGATACAGCCCATGTTCCTACAAAGACAAGTTGATGAGAAAGACATTTTTAGTGGGTTTGTTACTCCAAGACATCATGGACCAATTAGTGCTTTGATTAGACTCCAATTCTCCTCCAGTTTGGATGTAATCTTCCTCTCAAGCTCTGCTGCTCTCACTGGGTTACTAACATCCACTGCAATGCATCACAATCCAATTTTAATTTAGAGCCGGCACCGAGTGCCCGGCATGGTTAAAATGCACACACACACGTTTTGAAATCTCTCATGCCAAGGCGTCACAGGCAGGCGATGTTTAACGGTAGCCCATGAATATGCGGGGCGCATTAGCGTTAAAGAAAGACAGCTCGCTTTTATCAAAGCCCTCGTCTCCTTTTTTCCTGTATTTTTCCTCCAGAACTGCTTGTTCTAAAACATAAAAAGAAAATCCTCTTCATCTCACCATCTATCTTTAACCAACTCTCTCTCTCTCTTCTGTCCGCTCCAAACTCAGGCAGGAATAGCAAATCAATGCACAGGTCCCCATTGAGGGTGCACACTCCCTTTTTTTTTTTTCTTTTTTATATTCCCCATCATTTTTAACAGCCTGAACTTAGAGTTGCCATGGCAACAGGCGGAGCAGGGATGGAGAGGGAAAAAGGCTGCCTTTTTTCCACAGACAGAGAAAGGATCTGTTGTTGAGGTGTTCACTTTTAAGATATAGACAGGTGCTGGGGAAAAAGAAATAAAAAGAGGAAGAGCTTGTTTAATGTTTTGCTGCTTATGCCGCATTTAACTCCCAATATGAGGTGGAGGGAGGCGGTGGTGGGGGGGAGAGGCTGTACACAGGAAGTGGAGAAATAAAAAGGCTGGCTGGAGGAAATAAAAGGGGGAGGGCTGAAAGAGCAGGAGATAACGAGTGGTTCCCTTGTGGGTTAAACAGGATTCATAGTCGTCCCCCCGCCCTGCGCTCCTCCCTGCTTCTTTTCTTCTTCTCTTCTTGATGTTGGCTGCCAGCCATTCTTACAGGCCAAAGCGTTGGCAAAAGTGTGGTCGATGGATGTGCTTTCTGTGAGCTCAAAGGTGTTGAAAATAAACAGAACAGATGCGGAGCACAGGCTCTCTGTACCGCGCGTCTTATATTTATTTTTAAACCTCCGTGTCTTTTCTCCACAGACGATAGACGACCTGCTGGTTGCGTCGGCCGAGTGTCCGAGCGACGATGAAGACATTGATCCCTGTGACAGCTCAGGTGAGACAAGTGCTAAAAAAATACATGTCACATTTATTTCTCCGCTAGTTTTTCATGTGTCGCTCACTTGTCGTTTTCTTCCCCTTGGTCACTCCCTGCCATGAATTTTTCATTTCCACTTTGGTTTCTGCCTCCTGGCACCATTTTTTATCTTTGAGCCTTTCTCTGCTTTTGCTTGCTCCCATCACCTTCTCCTACTCCTTTGTTATTCAATCCTTGTTCTTGGGAAATGTATCTTTTTCTTCATCGCATATAGAAAAAAGTACACCAGCAATCCTATGTAATAGACCAACACAAAGTAGCTCTTATTTGTGAATTAAAAAGGTATAGGATTCAATGCTGAGCAGCAATATATATTAAAAGTTAGATACACAAACCCTTACTCACTATTGATATTGGTTCCACTAAAGCAAAGGCACTATACTATACACTATAAACAGCATTTTGTGGAAGTTAATGCTAAAATGCTACATTATATTTAGCAAAAGCTAATGCTAAAGTGGCATACCACCATGGTATATTACCCAGTAGCTAATGCTGAAGTACAACACCAACATTGTATTTACTAGAAGGTAATGCTAAAAAGCTATACCAACATGGTATTTAGCAGAAGCTAATGGTAAAGAGCTAAATTTGACCATATTCATATCCAAGATTGTGTCAATGATGATTTGCACATCACTGCCTGATATTGACCCTGAAGCACAAGCTGCACAGTTAGCTCATTTGCACATGCACTACAATAAATAGTTCTGGATCATTGTAAAAATGAAGATCTTACTGAATTTTACTAGCTATAAAACAACCTATTTTCCTTACAAATCCCTTAATGAATAATTGTCATGATTAGGTTGAAGATGATATGCAAGTATAAATCTGTATTGGACTGTAATGCATACTCTGATGGACCTGTACACAAGTTTTCATGAGACTTATTGATTGTGTTTTCAGAAAGTACAACACTGCATCTCATGTGCTGATAAGATGCTACTTTATTACTCTATTTGTATTACTCCATCATGTTTGGCTATTGTACACAGGCAAATAACCTGTTTTTTTTTTATTTTTTTTTTTAGAAAATAGTCAAAGCATTATAGCAAAATCCAAATAAACAATTTTATCGATAGTTGTTGTTATTCTCTTTAAGTCAGATTTATTTTAGCACATGCACAAATAAGCCAGATCGTGGAGTGACAATGCAGAACACGTAGCTATAAATTTTGCGCTTCAGGAAGTGGTTCTGTAGAACAGACCTTTCACTTCTGGTGTCCATTTCATAGTTGTTGAGTATTGCTAACTCTGCTAACACCGCATCACAACTGAAAATGAACAAAACAGTAAATTTTGCGTTTTAGTATGCATCCAGAAAAATGTATTTATGGGAAGCTGAGTGTACGCCTGACAAATTAAATGGTAAGGAGGTGATGCAATCATTTGAATCAGCTGTTCTGGAGCAGCGAAACATCCACAATATGCAGAACATTGTTAGCAGTTTCTATTCTAATTGGAGCATCAGATGTTTCTGCAAAATACTGAGTCAATGGGGTTGAAAACAAATCTACCCTATGCTAAAAAAATAATAATTTTCCTTCCCTTCACAGCCACTTTCCAACTAAAGCCTAATAAAGTACATTGAAGTTTGTGGCTAAATATCTTTGCAAGGATATTTATCTTTGAACTGAAATGATTAATCAGATAAATTTTGATTAATCAATTATTGAAATAATTGTCAAGTAATTTAGTAATCGATTAATTAACTGGGGTATACAGACTCAAAAAAATAGCTTTGTCTTTGTCTTTGTAAATATGTTATCTCCAGAACTCAAGTGGCACAGTCTTAGCTTCACCCTTTAAATTCTGTAAAGAAAATCTCCCACTGAACATCTTTTGCTGTCTAATTATTAATCAATTAATCCAAAAGATAATCACTAGATCAGTCTTACATTTTATTGATGTTAAGTCGAGCAGAAATGACTGAGTAATTAACGTTGATGTTAGAAATAGTCTCTTAGCTTCAGGTGCATCTTTTGATGCAAATGATCAAATGCTGGCTATTTGTATTGGAATGCCGTTGATGTATTTTAGGGTTTTTTAAATAGGAATTTAATTATTTGTTTATTTCCATCTTTAGACATATTTCTAATATATAAGACGACTTTGGTGGATAAATTTAAAATCTGTAAAATGAGGGATTTTTATCTGATTAATCAATTAATCATCAGAATAATCAATAATAAAAACAACCATTTGTTGCACCCCCATAATGCATGTCATAAAGTGTAAGAACTATAATTTATTTGTTCAAGGCCTCCTTTATGTCATGTAATCTGCAATCAGACGATATGTAAACAACTTTGGCTGTAAGCTCCAGTTTACACTTGACAGGCTGCCATTATGCAAAATCCTTATCAAATAATTTATCATGATGATGCATTATGTCTTCTTGCTCCCCACCCACTGCCTTTGCATGTAATTCAAATTAATAATGCATAAACCAATCTGAAAAAAAATCACATCGTTTTTCTCACCTTCGTATGCCTTACAGCCCGCCCTCCACCGCCAGATGTGAAGGTGTTTCCTGGTCCGTCCGAGGTGGTGCGGGAGAGCAGCAGCACCACCGGCATGGTGGTGGGCATCGTGGCGGCCGCCGCCCTCTGCATCCTCATCCTCCTCTACGCCATGTACAAGTACCGCAACCGTGACGAAGGCTCCTACCATGTGGACGAGAGCCGCAACTACATCAGCAACTCGGCCACTCAGCCCAACGGCAGCGCCAAGGACAAACCGCTGGGCATCGCCAAGATCTCCAAGAACAAGAAGAACAAAGACAAGGAGTATTACGTCTGAAGCGGACACACCTTTCCCCCTCCCCCCAGAAACAGACAAATATGCCTACACCTTTATATATAACAATATATGTACATAAATAGATATATTCTCCAAGAAAAAAAAAGAAAGTCATACACAGGGGCATAGACATGATGATTTTAATATTTACTCTCCAATAATCACACCTGCACACATTCTGTCAAGCACAAACACACACAAACAAGTCCACATGCACACATTCAAGCACAAACATACATTCAAAGACGGACCTGGGGGCCTGGGCCCTCACTGTACAGTATTTACCAATGAGCAAGAGCCTCTGGCAGGGGCTTATTTTATGAGCATTAACACCATTCCAAAAGAGTTAGAAAGCACCAGTTCAACCACCATTTCGGCTCCAGTCTGGTCTGCCACAGTCTGGCCAGAGTGCGAGGGGTGAAAACCAGACTTCAAGTGAAGCATGCGGCAGGCCGAGCGAGAGGCAGTGCACCCGAACAAAGATGATGTAAAAGCACTAAGTGTCTCTTCCAAGCTTCTTGGCCTTCCTCCCTGTTAGCAGACAGGACTCGATGAAGCACAGCGGACGGCGAGGAAACAAGCACACCAGTGGCTCAAAGTTTAGCCTAAAGGACAGGAACTCAGTGTGTAGCCATAGAGACGGTGAATTACTACAAGAAAAAACAGGGCTGGGTGAGCTGCTGATGTTTTTTACAGCCTCCTGTATAAATCACAACGAAGGAAGCAGAGGAAACAAAGAGATGTTTTTCCTGCGCTGGATACTTGAGACTTTAGATGCTACCTACAGACACCAGTGAGGCGTGGCCGCTGTGTCTCCCCTGGCGTACACACGGAACAACATAAACTGACTCTAAAGACAACAAGACGGTGAATTGATCACTATGATAAAGACGAATATCAAGGATCATTTGGACAGTACAGACTTTGGGGAAGGGAGATGTGGGGGGGAATCTTATTGCACGTGAATTATCTTACTCCGTGTGATTTATACTCCGTTGAATCTCCAGATACACCGCCATCGTAAACTCCACCACTTCGGCTTCCAGACATTCGCTTCAAATGTCGAGTAAATTACTGGTTTTCGACAGTAATTTAAGGCCCCGTCCACACTGACAGAGATTTGAATCACAATTGAAATGGTTCTTCTGTAATTTGCAACAATATTTTTTAAAGTGAAGATTTGCTTACATAATAGAAATTGATCTCTATTATGTAAGCAAATCTTCACTTATTTTGCCTATTTTGCACAATGATGAAAATTAGAGGATTAAAATTAATTTAATGTTTTTTTTCCCATTGATGAACAACTTTATAAACGTCAGCTGAATAACTGAAAGATAGGTATATATAAAGAATTGACTGATTTTAATGCTTCTGGCTTTATTTGCCAGAAAGAAAGTCAGAAGAAACTTTTTGACAATTTGCTAAATGTCTCCTTACATCCAACTTTCTTGTTGTCTTTCCATTCTATCCTTCCTTTCTTCTATAACTGTTCCTACTCTTTTTTCTTTCTCTTCTTTGCATCCTTCATCTTTTCTTCCTTTTGTTGGGTTTGTTTCTTCTCCCTTCTCCTTTTCTCCCTCATATCCTTCCTTCCTTCCTCTCCTGCATCTGTTGTTCCTTTTCTTCCTACCTTCCTTTTCTCCATTTGTTCTTCTTATCCAGTGCTCTTTTCCTTCCTTCCTCTTTAACTTCAGACTTTTCTTTCTTTCTGTCCTTTATTGTTTCTCTTGGTCATATCCTCCATTCTTTCCTCTAATAGATTCTTAGTTCTACTTTGTTCAATGAGAATATCAATAAATATGGAAAATATGATTAAATGCAGTTATGATTAAATCCAGCTTAGTGACACAAATCACATCTTTTTGTGATTGGTTTAAAGCAACGTTTTACAAATGGAAATGTTTTGCAAGATCAGTATTACAATAGTGCCACAAAATATTGTGATAAAACTTTCAGTCCTATCGCCCTCCCTTGATGTTTAGCCTAACTTTGCTTTAGCCAGGCTCATAATCTTCTCCACCACTTCGGCTTCAAGTATTCCCAGACATTTGCTTCAAATAGTTTGGTAATATTAGTTACGTAATGTTGAATCTCAACATTACGTAACTAATGTTGAGATTCAACATCTGCTGATGCAAGAACGGTGTTACGCTGACTTTTTGAATTTGAACTTCTCAAATCCCACAGTGGTTTACTTTCTTACTCTTCATAAACAGATAAAAAATAATAATTGTTTATTTAAAAAGATCTCCAGAGCAGTGCAGCCGGGGCCTGAATCTTTGAATTAAATCTCAGTTTAAATCTTTCATTGACAAAGTGTGACCATCTGGACTGTGCTGCATGCCGAGTCTCTGAGCTGTGCTGTGGAGTGGTGGTGTGTCCAAACCCTACAGAGGTTTACTTGGTTTAAACTGGTGGAGGATGTTGCCATGCAACACCTGGATGTATATCTGCGTGTATGTGAGTTTGCGTGTGGCCCATGCCCTATTTTCTAGTTTGATGTCCTATTGGCCACAGCCACTACACCTGCTCCAATTGACCACCTTTCAAAGCGAAAACCAGCCTAGGAAAAGACCAACCAAGAGAACCAAGTAGATGTTTTCACATGTTGCTAATAGATAGACAAGTCCAGTTCTTGATGCCATCAGCTACGCGACACCTTGAGTTTTCTCTCTTTTAATTTCCTTCCGTGCCCTGACACAATCGTTCTGTTGGGTTTTCCTTACAGACTTTTGAAGTGTATGAACCCAGCTCCTGATTTGACACAAGCAGTGCCATGATTCAGCAAAGCCCCTTCCAGTTCTTCCGAAAACGTGACCCAACCAGGCAAGATGCATGTAATACGGACCGGGGGCTTGGAAGAACATGAAACTGACTGAAGCGTGTGAGATTTCAGTGTATTGTCCAAATTAACAGAACATGTTTGCATATTTTATTCATCCTAAACTGGCCTTTTTTGCCCTCTTTACCCTGATTTTCGTCCCCCTCTCTCTCCTCCTTTATCCACGTCTATGGCTTTCTTTCTCTTCTATCTCCATGTTGTGTTGTCATTCGAAACAGAGGGAGGCCTCTCCACCGATGGGATCCCACATTTAGGTGTTCATTAACCATGTTTATTTTCTATATGTACAATTTTTCTACAGTATTTACTTTTATTGTTACGGTTCTTTGATGAACATAAAGTGGAAATTTATTAAAAAAATAGTTTTGAAGATTAATGAGTAAATAAAATATTACCCAAGTGAGCCTGGAGTGTGTCAGAAGAGTGTTGAGTTTTCTTTTATTGCTGCTGTCTGCCTGCAGTCAGCGCTTCAGTCTGTCATCAGGAAACATTACAGTCAGCCATGAAGGCAGATAACTGTCAAATTAAAACTGAGCTGTCAAATTTGCATAACTTTTTCTGAGCGGCGCTTTAGGCGAAAGAAGATGGATGCTCCTTTTATGTTTGTTCTTTAATTAAAATTGGGCCTATAGCCTGACTGTTTATACATTCTCCTTTGAATTATGAATAGCATTTAAGTCCTATCCAAGCAGAAACTTAGACCAGTCAACTGTCGATAAATTTGCACGCAAACGTTAGCTAGCAGCTAGGTAGCGGTAGCCTCGATAGCCTCAGTGGTCTAGGACCCAGGGAGAGGTCTGAGGGTGGCCCAAATTTTGCCTGACAGAAAAGTCCCGAGAGAGAGAGAGAGAGAGAGAGAGAGAAAGTAGAGAGAGTAAAATATACTAAATTATTTTTAGTTATTTTTATAAATTAATTTAAGACATTTTAAGGTCTTAATTTTAGAAACATAAGACTCAAATCCAGTAACATACATGCATCCATCTGATTATCTTTGCAAGCAGGGCCAGATTCAGAAGGAGAAGAGCCAAATATGGGCTAGTGCCATATTTGATGCCCTTGATAGGTGGGTCTATTTGACATGTTCCATGCAAGATGGCTTCAATTATGGTTACAAACAGACATACTTAATATTTGAATATTATACACATTAATAAAAATGCAAAAACAAATATTAACATACATATAAGCTTATGCGTTTTGCATAAAGTACAATCTCTCATTAACCGAGAGGCAGGGAACAGCCTCAACACGTCACCAGTCTGTCACTGGGCAACACAGAGACACACAAGACAAACAGCTACAAACACTCACACCTGAGGACAGTGGGAGGACAGCTGGAGAGAACTATTCATTCATCGGAAGTAAAAAATAAATAAAAAAACTTGTATCAGAACACCCCTAAAATTTAGTCAACAAATATACCAGAGCAGTGATACATTTTTATAACCGTTCCTAAGAAAGTAGACATTAAATTTCCTCATTTCATTTTACATCTTTTTTTGTTTGTTGACTGCAATAACAAAAAGTATCTAAAAGGAAACCAAATGTCATTTTAGACCTTTTTATACTTGCATAAAAGAAGAAGAATAGAAATTTTGCTTTGACAGTAAAGAAGCAAATAGTCCTGCAGTGTTTAGCAGAGACATGTGAACTCTTATCATTTGGGTGGGTGGGGGTTGGGGGGTGACTTAACAGCAGCAAACTTTTATGTTAGTTGATAATTTTAGTGTTGATAATTTTGAAATGGATGGAAAGGAAACCCGAAATGATTCTCGCACTATTAGTAAGAAACCCCATCAGATTAATTTACTTCCTGGCTCAACTGAAGGAGCTGCTGCTCATCCTTTTCAAAATACATCTTGGTTTCACCTTCTTCTACGTGCATGCTGTGTCCCAAACTGCAAGGAAAATGCATATAAGATTTCCAACTGCTCTCTCTAAACAAGACCAAACTCATGGAGCATACAACTAATAATTATCCTATCAACAGATTTCTCCACTTGAGCTGTGGATGTCTCAGGGCATCTTGCCTGCTTTTCTGATAAATGCTCCCTGTCTCTGGTCTGTCGGTTTTGGTTGATGGCCACAACTTGCTAGATTTGCTCTGTTTCAATTTCATATGATGGATTGAAAAGAGCTCAGTGAGATGAGTTAACAAAAACTCTGAGGTGTTTACGGCTAGTTTTATTCTGAGATTAAATTGCACACGTGCAGATTCAGCTGAGTGACTCGGTTGTGGTGGATTTTATTATTTTTCAGGTTTCATTGTGGAAAATCCCAATAAAAGATACTGACGTTTTTGACAAAACGTGATACAGTTCAAGGGTGTGAATAATTTATGAAGGCACTGCAGAGAGGTTTTTTTTTGTGTGTGTGTGCGTCAGTTTAGGTTTCGCTTCAGTTTTATCCAACACTTAAAAGCATTTCTCAAACAATCTGAGCCTAATGGAAGCTGCACAAATCCCCTCCTTTTTGTTTTCACCTTCAGCCTCATCAAAATACAGAAAGCGCCACCTTTTCTTGCAGAGTCGTGCTCTGGGACCGCAGACATATAAATACTCCCATGCACACACCAAGCAGGCCTTTGAAGTCTGAGTCAGTGCAGTAAACGGTGCGAGTCTCTGCAGAGTTACTTTTTTTTGTTTTTTTGTTGCTGGATGAAAGATTCCTGAGACTGCAAAGCTGAGCATCCTCAGGTGAGAGCAGCTACAAGGACCAGCTATTTCAATAAACACCTCCCAATTCTCCCAAGCTTGTTCTTTTGCGGTTTGTTTTTCCATAACTTTCTGCTGAACAGTCTGTCCTCGACAAAAGGTTTGTGTTTGGCTGCAGCCATCTGCTGCCTCGCTGTCCTTGAGAGCAGGCAGCCAGCACTTAGATAAAGAGATATTCAAGCTATTTTTCTGGGGAGAATACAAAACAATTTCAGTGCTAATCAGCACTTAATGAGGAAGCAATAACAGGAGCCTGCAAAATGCAAAGAAAAAAAAAACACAAATACATCAATTATTTAGCAAGTGTGAGGCAGGTGTGTTTTTAGAGACCAGGGTCTACTTAATTTAAGAGGCAATTTAAATCAGGAAAAAAAAAATTAATATCATCTTTGTTTCTGTTACTATTAGAGTGCCATCCGGAGCTGGGTGGCTCAGTTGACTGATCACGAGCAACATGTGCTAATGCTGAGCGTTCTCCTGCATCACGTATCTTGTGCATATTGCTGCATGTCTTCAAACTCTGTCTGGTGGTCGAAAAAAATAAACTCTCGTGGCCAGCCCAGCAATTATGCAATGGTAAAGATCCCATTGTTGTTAAATGAGGTCAAAACCTTCTGGAGAATTTGCCAAAAGGAGCAGTTAAGAATGTTGATGAAACTGCCAATCAATCAATCTACTTTTGTTTACTAGAATGTCTTTGTAAATAACCAATCTGAAAAAAAGAAATGACTAAATTAACGACAAATTTGTGTGAGGAGGGTGTCGTTGTAGAATCAAAACATAGCTATATTCTGGGACATCATGCAAATTATTTCATTTTTTTCTGTTTCAGTTTTTCAGTACTTCCATATATGCATTTTCTTTTTTTGTATATATTTCTATATCTACATATACATTTCATATATATATTTAAATATCTGCATATATCTGAAGGAATGAACAAACTACAAAAAAGAATAAACTTATAATAAACAAATTGGGTGGGGTACCTGCAAACTATTATACACTTAAACAGTTAAATAAATAAATAAACTAATAAATTTGGTCTTTCACAGATACATATAATCAAAAAATGATTTAGTGATTTACTATTTATTTATGTATTTATTCATTCGGTTCTATATTTATGTCTTGATTGAAGAAGATGACTGTATGGTTTGAATGAGCTGATACAGTTTATGAAAGAGGTCAGGGGTCTTCTCTTGGGGAGTCAAAGGGGTGTCCAGGAATTTTCCAGGCTGGCCATGGCCCCCCTCCGACCACCTCTTGGGGACGCCACTGTTAGCATGCCATTCATCCTTCCATTCATTTTCTTCCGGTTATCCAGCTTCGGGAGTAGCAGCTTCAGAAGGGAGGCCTAGACTTCCCTCTCCCCAGCCACTTCTTCCAGCTCCTCCGGGGGGGAATCCCAAGGCGTTCCCAGACCAGCCGGGAGACATCGTCCCTCCAGCGTGTCCTGGGTCTTCCTCGGGGCCTCTTCTTGGTGGGATGTGACTGGAACAACTCACCAGGGAGGCGTCCAGGACGCATCCTGACTGTCAGCATGCTTTTTGCAAAAGTCTTCAATTCTGTTACCAGCCTACTACTGTAAGTGCTGCATCTGGAGCTCCTGTCACAAGGATTATCATAGAAAATAAAGATTAATCCAAGCTTTATGGTTCAATTATACCATAAAGGACCAGACAATTGACCACTGAATTAGACCAGCATTTAAAAACAACTCTGAGCTATTTTTGACTCCCACACAGATGTTCTAGACTTTAAAGATCTCACCTTCCTGCACTTTCTTCCTTTGCCTTCGGTGAAGAAAAGTCCCGTTTCTTCCTTCAGCTCAGTCTGGGTCAGGAGCTCCCAGCAGATCAAGGCTCCGTCGTCTCCTCAGCTCTGCTCTGGCTGTTTTTCACCCAACAGGACGCCTGTTTTTCAAATGTAAATAAGGTTCTTAGCACTTTTCAACCAAAAATAGGTATACCTTCTTCACATAAATATTGATACTCAGTGAGAAGGCATTCTGGTGTCATATGTGGGTGTGTGTGAAAACAGAAAAGATGAATCAGAAACAAGTGTGCTGCAGGTTGCTTAAAATAACTCAACTCAAACGTCAAAGAGGCGATAACACATAGTTAGTTTATTGTTTCTTATTTTCAGATTAAATGAGTAGAGGGGGCATGTTTCCATTCATTTTTATTTATTTTTTTTACTCAGAGGTTCTACCGTACTCATTGTTTTTCATTTGATGTCCATAAGTACAGAAAATGTTTGGCTAAGCATTTCCTTTCACTCAATGGACCCACAGCTTCAAACTGTGATGTGGTAACATACAAGTTATGTCGTCCATTTCCATTGTATTTAACTGCCTGTGAAACACTTTGTTGATCCTTTCATTGCAAATGCAGATGCAAGTTTTTTAGGTGCATCACCTCCAACTTTGCATGTCTAGAAGCAGAAATCTTTGTCCAATTCTTCACTAAACAGCTGATTAATTTTGCAGGGTTTTACTCAGGTCAAGCATCTCCAAAGTGACACCGGGGTCAATTGTGACCCTTTGGCTTATTTTCTGACACCATTTGCTCTGTTCAGCACAAGTGGTTGATACAGATAGAGGTGTTTTTTTTAATCAGGGTAAAATTAGTACCAACATTATCCTCTTACAGTGGAAAAGTTACAACACAAAATATTCATCTTTTCATTAC